AAAATAAAGGCACAGCTTGTAGTCTGCAATGCTGCTCGGTCCCTATCAGGGAAACAGCGTCCCACTGAGACCCAGCTTTCATTCTCTTGTCTGTCTTTTCTCAATCCTTCACCACCCCCACCGAATCTGGCTGAGGTGGTGCGGCACATAAGGCGCCCTGGGGCTGAGTATGCCAGGGCTGTGCCAGCTCGCCACAAGTGTTGGCCTAAGAACCAGGAGATCGTGGTTTGATTCCCAGTCAGGGCACAAGCCTGGGTTGCGGGCTTAATCCCAAGTGGGGGGAGTGCAGGAGGCAGCTGATGATGCATCATCAATGTTTCTAGTTCTCTCCCTTCCTCTCTAAAATCAACAAAAATGTACCTATTTTTAAAATCACCATTGTGAAATTGCAGAAACTAAGCCAATGAGGTGATTTTTAACCTCGGGCGGAAAAAAGAAACCCCAAGAATTGAACAAAATCATTTGGGGAAAAGGGTGAGGAGAGCACAGTAGATAGTGGTGTCAAAGAACTAAATTCTCATCTATGCATCAATAAGGTCTTAAGAATGATTTTTTAAAAAAAAGAATTTCTTTGAAAAAAAAAAAAGGTAAAGAGAAAGTGACCATCCCTGCCCTAGCTGGTTTGGCTCAGTGGATAGAGCATCAGCCTATGGACTGAAGGGTTCTGGGTTCGATTCCCACCAAGGGCACATGCCCCGGTTGCAGGCTCGGTCCCCAGTGTGGGGCCTGCAGGAGGCAGCAGCCGATCAATGATTCTTTCTCATCATAGTAGTTTCTATTTCTTCCTCTCCCTTCCTCTCTGAAATAAATGAAAATTTAAAAAGAAAATCTGATTTTTAAAAAAAAGACACCCTCCCTGTAGCCACTACAGCAGCTGCACGCTGTCCGGTGAGATGCTTCACTGTTGTCATGACCACCAGCAGTATCCCCATCGACATACCTTTCTCCCTCCAGCTCACAATGTGCTCCCAGCTCTCAGTGGCAGACTGTTCACACCGGTGGAGTAACAGGGACTGCCCTGGCCCTGCCACTTCCTTGAAAGAACCCCCCAAACCAGACACAATATGTGAAGCACAGGCTGTAAAGAAAAGGGGCGTCAGACAATGAAGGACAGAGCTGTCTGGGAGAAACAGGAGGTGTGCCTGCCTCTGCCCCATGACGGTGTGGGGAGGGGCTTCCTGGCAAAGGCCAGTGGCCGCCCCACATTTAGGAGAAGAAACTGGAGTTCTCACACCCGGAGGGAAGAGTGGCTGAGGGCGAGACCCCCGCGTGTCCACAGAGGGTCCCCCCGGAGTATCCCGCTGACCACTGATCAGCACATGTGGGTGAGGGACTGCGTGGGGCTGGGCAGTAGCCATCGCAGGGTGAAAGGCACTGCTGCCCAGCGCTCACGCAGGACAGGGACTGGGGATGGCTGTCCCCGGCAGCCAGGATGGCAGACCTCAGGATTCGGGAGGCACAGGGTGGGCGCTCAGAAGGGTCTTGCCTCAGTAGTGTGGGGACAATGACTCCTACACAGAAATGGCCCACAAAGAGAATCTCTAAAGTATTCAGCTATTTCTAAACCACTTAGCATCCAGAGCAAAGCTCAAAAAAGCATGTCTAGGACTACATAGATATCCAGCACTGCCCTAGCTGGTTGGCTTAGTGGATAGAGGGTCAGCCTGCAGACTGAAGTGTCCTAAGTTCTATTCTGGGCAAGGACACATGCCTGGGTTGCAGGCTCCATCACCAGTAGGGGGCATGCAGGAGGCAGCAGATCAGTGATTCTCTCTCATTGATGTTTCCCTTTCTCTCCCTCTCCCTTCCTCTCTGGAACCAATAAAAATGTATTTTAGCCGAAACCGGTTTGGCTCAGTGGTAGAGCGTCAGTCTGCGGACTGAAAGGTCCCAGGTTCGATTCTGGTCAAGGGCATGTATGTTGGTTGCAGGCACATCCCCGGTGGGGGGTGTGCAGGAGGCGGCTGATCGATGTTTCTCTCTTATCGACATTTCTGGCTCTCTATCTCTCTCCCTTCCTCTCTGTAAAAAAAAAAAAAAAAAAAAAAAAAAAAAATATATATATATATATATATATATATATATATATATTTTTTTTTTTTTTTTAAGTATTTTAAAAAGAGATAGCCAGCACTCCAGGGGAAATCATGTCTGGCATCCAATCTAAAATTACCAGGCATGCAGAGAAGCACCAAAATACAACCTCATAACGAGAAAGGATATTAGCCAATTGAAAGGCATCCGAATTGAAAAAGGAAGCAAGCCACCTTTATTCTAAGAAAACATGATCATCTTGCAGACAATCTGATGGCATCTATAAAAAGAGCTGCTAAAATAAGTAAGTTTAGCAAGAGCTGCAAGATGATTTACAGGGAGCTCATTTTTTTCCAACGAAAGGCTTACACCAATTGCGCCAGCACTTTGCTTCACTGACATGGGTCAGCCCACAAAGCTCTGCTTTTCGTATTTTGGAGTTGTTTGCTCTTTTCATGCAAATTAGATTTCAAACAAATTTTTGCCAAGGAGACAAAACAGTGACAAGGCTGTGGAAAATCAGCATTCTGGCTTCATCCGAGGATTTATTCTCCATTGATTTTCAGAGAGAGTGCAGGGGGTGGGGGGGTGGGGGACAGAGAGAGAAATAGAGATGTGAGAGGCTCATCAATTGGTTGCCTCCCGCACGTGCCTTGACCTGGGCCAGGGATGAAGCCTGCAACTGAGGTACATGCCCGTGACCAGAATCAAACCTGGGACCCTACAAGCCGAGGGCCAATGCTCTATCTATTGAGCCAAACCGGCTAGGACTTCTGTAGTGCAATTTTGCACTGTAGCATGAGAGCTTTATACAATAATTCATAAATATTTAACTCAGTAAGTCTACCTCTTATCTTGTTTTTAAAGTATATTTTATTTATTTATGTTTTTTACAGAGAGGAAGGGAGAGGGATAGAGAGCTAGAAACATCAATGAGGGAGAAACATCCATCAGCTGCCTCCTGCACACCCCCTACCGGGGGATGTGCCCACAATCCAGGTACATGCCCTTGATCGGAATCAAACCTGGGACCTTTCAGTCCACAGGCCAACGCTCTATCCACTGAGCAAAACTGGTCAGGGCTGGAATCTATCTTAAGGAAACAATCATTCATGCAATGATTTATATACAAGAATTCCAGCCTGACTAGTGTGGCTTAGTTACTTGAATGTTGTCTCATGCACCAGGAAGGCACTGGGAGGCCTTCAGGAGGCAGCTGATCAATGATTCTCTCTCATCACTGATGTTTCTATCCCTCGTTCCCTCTCCCTTCCTCTAAAACCAACAACACTTTTTAAAAGATTCCATTGCACCTGGCTAGCATGGCTCAGTGGTAGAACGTTGACCTATGAACCAGGAGGTCACATTTCGATTTCTGGAGGCAGCCTATCAATGATTCTCTCTCATCATTAATGTTTCTGTCTCGCTCTTCCTTTCTGGAATCAATAAAAATATATTTAAAAATAAAATAAAAATTCAATTGAATCATTACCTAGAGTAGGACAGAAATTGAAAATAATTTAGTCCATAATGACATTATAATATATGTGTTATGCCTCCATTCAATAATGCTTTTGAAGACTTTTTAGAAAGAGGGAAAGTTCAGCCCTAGCTGGTTTGGCTCAGTGGATAGAGCATCAGCTGTAGACAAAAGGGTTCTGGGCATATACCTCCCCATCCCAGGCCCTGGTTGGGGCATGTGCAGGAGGCAACCAATTGATGTGTTTCTCTGGCATCAATATTTATCTGTTTTTCCCTCTATTCCCCTCTAAAAACCAATGGGAAAATATCCTAGGGTGAGGCTTAAAAAAAAAAAAAAGGAAAAGTTCATGTAGATGAAAAATATTAGTAAAGCCTTGGCCAGGTAGCTCAGTTGGTTAGAGCATTGCCCCACTATGCCAAGGTTGTGGGTTTGATCCTTGGTCAGGGCACATGCAAGAAGCAAACAATGAATGCATAGCCGAAACCGGTTTGGCTCAGTGGATAGAGCGTCAGCCTGCGGACTGAAGGGTCCCAGGTTCGATTCCGGTCGAGGGTGTGTGCCTTGGTTGCAGGCATATTCCCAGTGGAGGGGTATGCAAGAGGCAGCTGTTCGATGACTCTCTCTCATCGATGTTTCTAACTCTCTCTCTCTCCCTTCCTCTCTGTGAAAAATCAATAAAATATATTTTTAAAAAAACAAACAATGAATGCATAAATAAGTGGAACAATAAATGGATGTGTCACACACAAAACAATAAAAAAGAAAAAAGAAAAATATTAGTAAAAATGCTAACCTTGCCCTGGCCAGTTTGGCTCAGTGGATAGCATATGGGCCTGCGGACTGCAGGGTCCCAGGTTCAATTCCGTTCAATTCCCAGGTGCGGGTTTGATCACCCCCAGTAGGGGGCGTGCAGGAGGCAGCCGATCAATGATTCTCATCATTGATGTTTCTATCTTTCTCTCCCTCTCCTTTCCTCTCTGAAATCAATAAAAATATTTTTTAATTTTTATTATTTTTAAAGCACAATCTATTTTTTCTTTTTTTATTAAGATATTATGTGTACATACCTTACCAATCCCCACCCCCCATCCCCAAACATGCCCTCCCTCCCCATAGAAAAATATTTTTTTAAATGTTAACCTTGCATAACAATAATTATATTATTGTTATGTTTACTATATAAATGCAGCTATGAAAAGATTCCAAAATGTTCACAGTAGTTGTCTTTAGCTTCTTTGTAGTGTTGGAATATCTGATCCCCAGACCTCCCCTCCAGCGCTGGGACAAAGACAAGACTATGAGGTGCTGTAGTTGAAAAGAAACTCAGACAGGGAAGAGAAGCTCATTTTTATTTGCTGTAGTGACAAACACTTAAGCATCAAACAAAACAAGTAGACCATAATTATCCAAGGGCCAGTACAAAGAAAAGATGAGGGCCTGGATACAAGACTGGGCCTCGGCCCCCCCTTTCCCCAGCCCAGGCTCAGCGGGGAAGAGGGGGCCCGAAGCGCTGCATGGTCCGTATCACTAGGGAAAGATGGTCAAGAAAGTTCACAATAGAAGCTCGAAGGAGACGAGAATCTTCAGCTCTCCAGTGGCTGAAAGTGAGGGGGGAAAAAAGAAAATCAGCCTGGCCCCTGTGGCTCAGTGGTTGAGCACCAACCTATGAACCAGGAGGTCACGGTTTGATTCCCGGTCAGGGCACATTTGGGGGTTGCCTGGTAGATTCCCAGAGTGGGGCGTGCAGGAGGCAGCTGATCCATGATTCTCTCTCATCATTGACATCATCTGTCTTCGGGACCATTTCTCCCTCCCTCTCTGAAATCAATAGAAATATATTTTTTGAAAAAAAGTAATTCAAGTTAGAGATGATGACTCCTCCCTTCCTTGCTCTGCCCCTCAGGCACTGCACTGAATCTTTTGCTGTTCCCATGGCAACACCCCTTAGAACGCACCAAACCTAACTATTGAGTGTTTCCATGGTGACTGGCCCTGCCACCTGCTGCCCCGCCTCCTCCCCGCCCCTTTGTAGAGCTTACACCAATAGGACGCTGCCGTCCACAGCTAATTCCTTTTGAACCAGTTCTCCGTGAGGTTCCACATCTGGGGCCAGGGATCCACGGGCGATCTCTGCCTCCAAGGGGGACGGGAACGGCACACTGAGGGCGCTAGTGGGGATTCCGTTAAGGCACCATCCACATCGACTTTGTGTCTCAGGTCCCCTCCCAGGCCACCTTGGCTAATCTAACCCCCTCCAGGCCACCCTTGGGCCTAATTCCCACCAGCCACCCCGTTACTCCCCTGCTCCAATTTCTTCCCTTCCAGACTGTCCCTGGCCCATCTCTGCCCCCCTTTCGGCCCGCTCGGTGTGTCCCGAAGACAGCCCGCGGCGTATTTCCGCTGTGCCCCCGCGGTAGGATACAACGTATGCTGATTTCCAGGCCTTCGGATCAGGATTGCGGCGTCTCCCCCGCTCCCTGAGACATGCTGTGCTCGCGCAACGCGTGGATCTGCGCTGCGTGTATCGCCCGCGGGGCCCGCACCTTCCCGGACACGGGCTCGGGCTCGGTCTAAAGCCGCAGCCTGCATGTCTCCTGACTCCGCCTGGCTCCGCCTGGCTCCGCCTTCGACCCCGCCCCTAGAGCGACGTTCTAACAAGGCTCCGCCCCTTTACGTTGACCCCGCCCCTCGCGCTGACTCCGCCCCTCAGGCCTGCGTAACCAGGCCCTAGTGAGGCCCCCAGTTGTGGGGTCAATTCCACCACCCTGGCCCTGCCACCCGCGAGTCCGGGAGACCCCGTGGCGGACTCCCTCACGAAGCTCCGTCCCGAAGAGCGAAGTTAAACGGGATTTCCGGAGCTCCGGCACCGACGCCCCGCCTCGCCCCGCCCGCCGGCGATTCGGTTGGGCGGGAGATTGGTTCCCACCCAGCCAGCCCTGCCGCTGCCGGGAGATGTGTCATTGGTTGCCTAGCCTGCGCGCGCTTCCTCATAATGCCCTGCCCTTTAGTGACGTGTGACCTCAGTGCGCCTGCGCAAACCGTCCTCCGCGCCCCCCCCCCCCCACCTCGTGCGAGGCCACCAGGCACGGGGGTAGTTTCCCACCCAGTCCCTTCTCTGGGCCCAATGTTCCTAAGAAATGTGGCTCAACGTTTTTGTAGTGATTTGTGGAGGGAGGTGGGGTCGGATAGCCCACAGGGCTACTGCTCTGCACTCTGCCTCCGTCGCCCATTTAGAAGGAGAAACCAAAAGTGGCTTTACAGGGGGCGATGAGTCAATCATATTTGCCTTTCAGAGAGACCACTAAGTAGGCAAGTGTGAAAATCTAGCCTGCTAGCAGGGAGGCCCCCACAGAGGCAAGGAAGGAAAGGATAGGGACCTGGCATGTAGTGGCAGTGGGAACAGGACTAATGTCATGTGAAAAATCAGAATGCAAATCTAAAATCACTAAAATCTCGCCGAAACCGGTTTGGCTCAATGGATAGAGCGTCGGCTTGGGGACTGAAAGGTCCCGGGTTCGATTCCGGTCAAGGGCATGTACCTTGGTTGCAGGCATATCCCCATTAGGGGGTGTGCAAGAGGCAGCTGATCAATGACTCTCATTGATGTTTCTAACTCTCTATCTCTCTCCCTTCCTCTCTGTACAAAATCAATAAAATATTAAAAAAAATAAAATCACTAAAATCTCAACTTAGTAAACTACTCAATACATACATTGAAATCCTAGAGCAATACACCAAGAAGTAAATGCTTCTTATCTCTGTTTGATAGCATTGTGGGTGATAGTTTCCTTTTTGTGTTTTCCCAAACATTTCTGACAGTGACCTTATATGAATTTTTATTTTTTAAAATATATTTTATTGATATTTTAAAGAGAGGAAGGGAGAGGGATAGAGAACTAGAAACATCGATGAGAGAGAAACATGGATCAGCTGTCTCCTGCACACCTCCTACTGGGGATGTGCCCACAACCAAGGTACATGCCCTTGACCAGAATCGAACCTGGGACCCTTCAGTCCGCAGGCCAACACTCTATCCACTGAGCCAAACTGGTTAGGGCTTATATGAATTTTTAATCAATAAGTTTTTAAAGTAATGAGCATGCTAGTTTTCTATTTTCCTCCTTGTAATCATAAGGAAGGACAAAAAGCTGAACTGTATCCTTAAATCCTGTTGTATTTCAACAGAGCCTAAGCAGCCCACTTCTCTCCCTCTTCATTGCTAGTCTCCAGTGGGAGCTATCTCCTCTCCCTAAACTCCTTCCACAGCTTTCTACCTGGTTTTCTCTACACCTGCTCCTCTAGAGCCTGTTCTCCGCACAGCAGAACCAGGTCTTCATTAAAATATATATATTTTTATTGATTTCAGAGAGGAAGAGGGAGGGAGATAGAAACATCGATGATGATGGAATCATTGATCGGCTGCTTCTGGCGCGCCTCCTACTGGAGATCAAGCCTGCAACCCAGGCATGTGCCCTTGACTGGAATCAAACCTGGGACCCTTCAGTCTGCAGGTCAACGCTCCATCTACTGAGCCAAACCAGCTAGGTCTTAATTTTTAATATAAACCACATCATATCAAATTTCTGCTTAAAATATTTTTATTGCCCAGCCAGGCATGGCTCAGTGGTTGCACCTTGAACTGTGAACCATGAGGTCATGGTTTGATTCCCTATCAGGGCACATGCCCAAGTTGTGGGCTTAATCCCCAGTGTGGGACATGCAGGAGGCAGCCGATCCATAATTCTCTCTCATCATTAATGTTTCTATCTCTCTCTCTCTCTCCCTTCCTCTCTGAAATCAATAAAAAACAAAAACAAAAAACATTTACCCCCAAGAAAGGGGTACATGGGAACAATCTGGCATGTGCCCTGACTGGGAATCAAAGCGTGACCTCCTGGTTCATAGGTGGTTACTGAGCAACATTGACAGGGCTTTGCTTAAAATCTTAAAATTATTTCCCATTTCCCTTGGAATCAAATCCAAAGTCTTCGTTGTATGTAGCTTATAAAAAGCCCTGGGTGCTCTGGCTCCCAACCCTTTCACCCTCTCCCCCCAACCTGTTTCCTCATTCCTGCCCCCAGCCGTTTGCATTTGCTCTTCTCTTTGCAAGACTGTCCCCAAACTTTCCCAAGGCTGACTCCTTCTTGTCATTATGACATGGAGTACAATGTCACCTCCAAGAGAACTTCTGGGTCACCAGTCTAACACTACCCCTTGGCATGCTTCATCACATTTGCCCATTTAAATTTGCTGCATAGCATTTCTAATCATCTGAAATTATAACCTTGATTTGTTCACTTACATATTGTTTTTTTAAAATATATTTTTATTGATTTTACACAGAGAGGAATTGAGAGGGACAGAGAGTTAGAAACGTCGATGAGAGAGAAACACCGACCAGCTGCCTCTTGCACACCCCCCACTGGGGATGTGCCCGCAACCAAGGTACATGCCCTTGACCAGAATCGAACCCGGGACCCTTCAGTCCGCAGGCTGACGCTCTATCCACCGAGCCAAACCGGTCCCGGCTGTTCACTTACATATTGTTAATATATCATCTCTGATGCCCCTTACTTGTTCAGTGCAGTTTAGAGACTAGGTCGTCTGTTCCCTGTTGAATGAAACAAAGAATTACACACGCACAAAACTGATCGCTGCCAAAACCGGTTTGGCTCAGTGGATAGAGCATCAGCCTGCATACTGAAAGGTCCCGGGTTCGGTTCCGGTCAAGGGCATGTACCTTGGTTGTGGGCACATCCCCAGTAGAGGGTGTGCAGGAGGCAGCTGACCGATGATTCTCTCTCATCGATGTTTCTAACTCTCTATCCCTCTCTCTTCCTCTCTGTAAAAAATCAATAAAATATATATATAAAAACAAAACAAAATGGACCCAGCAACTCCCCTGTAGACAGTGACTTCACAAATATAAAATGACATGCACAAAGTTACTCCCTGTAACATAATTGGTAACATAACATTAATGTACATGTCCATGATCATCAGGGAAAAGTGGTGAAATAAACTCTGGTACATTCATTCAATAGTCCTAAGCAGCAGTAAAAAGGAATGAGAAATCTCTAATAAAAATGAGATGATTTAGCCCTAGCTGTTTGGCTCAGTGGGTAAAGCATCGGCCTGCAGACCAAAGGATCCCAGGTTCAATTCTGGTCAAGGGCATATGTCTGGGTTGCGGACTCGATCCCCAGTGTGGGGCGTGCAGGAGACAGCCGATTAATGATTATCATTGATGTTGCTATCTCTCTCTCCCTCTCCCTTTCTCTCTGAAATCAATTAAAAAAAAGTTTTTTAATGAGATGATTTACAGGATACATTGTTATGTGAAAAAAGCAGAGTACATGCCCTGACCGGTTTGGCTCAGTGGATGGAGCGTCAGCCTCTAGACTGAAGGGTCCCGGGTTGATTCCGGTCAAGGGCATGTACCTTGGTTGCAGGCACATCCCCAGTGGGGTGGGGGAGAGCATGCAGGAGGTAGCTGATCGATGTTTCTCTTTCACTCTCATTGATGTATATAACTCTCTATCCCTCTCTCCTTCTCTCTGTAAAAAAATCAATAAAAAATACTTTAAAAAAAGCAAAGTGCAGCCGGGACAGGTTTGGCTCAGTGGATAGAGCGTCGGCCTGCGGACTGAAAGGTCCCGGGTTCGATTCCGGTCAAAGGCATGTACCTTGGTTGCCGGCACACCCCCGGTGGGGGCTGTGAAAGAGGCAGCTGATCAATGATTCTCTCTCATCGATGTTTCTAACTCTCTATCCCTCTCTCTTCCTCTCTGTGAAAAATCAATAAAATATATTTTTTTAAAAAAAGCAAAGTGCAAAGGACAAACACACACACACACACACACACACACACACACACTTATTGGGGAAAAAAGACATAGGAAGGAGAAATTCAAAACTGATGAAAATAGTCACCTATGGAGGTTGGCATGGGTATAGGGTTTCTTAGAATGTACTGTTGACTTTGAAGCATTGTAAAATCTTTTTAAAAAAATATATTTTATTGATTTTTTACATAGAGGAAGGGAAAGGGATAGAGAGCTAGAAACATCGATGAGAGAGAAAAATCAACCAGCTGCCTCCTGCACATCCCCCAATGGGGATGTGCCCGCAACCAAGGTACATGCCCTTGACCGGAATCGAACCCGGGACCTTCCAGTCCTCAGGCCGACGCTCTATCCACTGAGCCAAACCGGTTCTGGCAAAGCATTGTAAAATCTTTTAAAATATATTTTGTATTGATTTCAGAGAGGTAGGGAGAGGAAGAGATAGAAACATCAATGATGAGAGAAAATCATTCATTGATTGGCTGCCTCCTAAATACCTCCTACTGGGGACAGAGCCCACAACCTGGCATGTGCCCTGACCAGGAATCGAACCGTGACCTCCTGGTTCATAGGTTGACGCTTAGCCACTGAGCAACGCCGGCCAGGCTGTAAATATTTTAAACGCCCAAAAATACATTTGAAAGAGTGAGAAAATCACATGCTGAAGTTGAATTTAAAAAAAAATGAATCTAACTGCTTATCCAATTTATAACAAAACCACACAGCGACAAGGATTCAAGTGCCTTTTAAACTCAGCTGTCTGGCTGTGCTCCCTTCATGGGATATATTCTCAGGACAAAAGGCACTGGCTTCACTCTGAGGGTGTTTGCTGTCAGCAGTGGCAGCGATGAGGTGACTGTGAAGCTATTTTGGGTGTGCTTTAAGACAGACTCTAGCTGGCAGAGCCAATGAGTAAATATATCCATGCTTCCGGGAATGAAAATTCTCACTTTGGAATAAGGGAAGGTGGCAAAGAACTGTGATGTTGGATTGAAATTGGGGATGGCAATATAAGCTTTTTGAAAAAATTGATTTCAGAGAGGAAGGGAGAGGGAAAGAGAGATAGAAACACCAATGATAAGAGAGAATCAAGCCTGAAACCCAGGCATGTGCCCTGACTGGGAATCGAACCGGAACCTCCTAAGTCATAGGTTGATGTTCAACCACTGAGCCACACCAGCCAGGCTGCAGTAAACATTTTGACACCTATTGAAGGATCTCAGCATTGGGGCCTGCAGGTGTCCATGGGGCCATCCCCATACTCTAGGGGCAAAGGCAGAGTGCGGCCTGTGGCTGCTCCATCCTCACATGCAGTCCCGTACCTTCTCATGACAGCTTGAGGCCTGGACCAGAGCCTCCTGGTCCCTTCCTTTCTGGTCCCTTCCCATCACTCATTGCTGTAGCATTTTCTCCCTTTCCTGTCTGCTCTTCCCCAACCTGCCCATCTCTGTCTTGCCACACACAAGCTTCTAAAATGAGGGGTCCCCAGTTACTGTCACGTCTCCTCCCTTCCCCATACAGTAGTGGCTTCTTGCCCCCATCACCCCCCAAAAAAATCACCAATAACCTAGAAAGAAAGAAAGAAAGAAAGAAAGAAAGAAAGAAAGAAAGAAAGAAAGAAAGAAAGAAAGAAAGGAAAAAAAGAAAGAATGAATGAAAGCCGAAATGGGTTTAGCTCAGTGGATAGAGCGTCAGCCTTCGGACTGAAAGGTCCTGGGTTCGATTCCGGTTAAGGCATGTATCTTGGTTGCGGGCACATCCCCAGTAGGGGGTGTGTAGAGGCAGCTGGTCGATGTTTCTCTCTCAACGATGTTTCTAGCTCTCTATCCCTTTCCCTTCCTCTCTGTAAAAAAATCAATAAAATAGCCAAGACCGATTTGGCTCAATGGATAGAGCGTCGACTTGGGGACTGAAGGGTCCCGGGTTCGATTCCAGTCAAGGGCATGTACATTGGTTGTGGGCACATCCCCAGTAGGGGGTGTGTAGGAGGCAGCTGATCGATGACTCTCATCGATGTTTCTAACTCTATCTCCCTTCCTCTCTGTACAAAATCAATAAAATATATTTTAAAAAATCAATAAAATATATTTTTTTAAAAAAGAAAAGAAAAAAAAAACTCATCCGAGGAGCTAGGACATTTTCTCCATTGATTTTAGAGAATGAAAAGGAGGGGGGAGGAGGGGGAGGAGGAGGAAGAAGAGGAGGAGGAGGAGGAGAAGAGAAACTTTGACATGACAGAGACACATCATTTGGTTGTCTCCCGCATGTGCCCCTGAAATCCAGGCATGTGCCCTTGACTAGGAATAGAACCTGGGACCCTCTGGTGCACAGGCTGACACTAACCACTGAGCCACACTGGCCAATGACCTTCTGGTTACTGGCCTGCCCTCACTTTGCCTCTTGGCAGCCCTCTGGAAGGGCATTCTTGGCGTCTGACACTGAGCTGGCTCTCCCTGTGGCCTTGCATCTGGGGTTGCATCTCCAGTTGGTGATGTTCCTCAAGGCCCAGTCCTCTCCCCTTTTCACGCCACCCTCTCTGGAAAGCCACCTCATCCGTCTTCACAGCTTCTAGGGTGTCCTGTCACAGGTAACCCAGATCACAGAAGGCTGCAGAAGGCTCTGGAATCAGACTGGGCCTGGCTCCATCAGCTCTCCCTTGACAGAGGCTCCATCACACGCGCAGGACTCCACTCCTGTCCCTACATCCTGCCTGCTCGCCCTGCTGAGTTTCTCACCCCCGTGTCCAACTGCCCAGATGTCTCCTAACCCCCAGATGGCCGTCACCCCCAAGCTGGGAGAAATGTCACAAAGAACTCAAAGACCACCTCAAGGGTCTGTCTGAAACGTGCATCTGCATATCACTCCCCTGCAGCAACAGTTGCCACTTGGGGCCCCCATTTCCCCTTCCCGAGGACCTGGCTTTCTAAAAAAATATATTTTATTGATTTTTTATAGAGAGGAAGAGAGAGGGATAGAGAGTTAGAAACATTGATGAGAGAGAACCATTGATCAGCTGCCTCTTGCACACCCCCTACTGGGGATGGGCCCACAACCAAGGCACATGCCTTTGACCGGAATCGAACCTGGGACCCTTCAGCCCGCAGGCTGATGCTCTATCCACTGAGCCAAACCGGTTTTGGCGGACCTGGCTTTTGTTGAGAATTCCCGCTCCCATCCACAGCGCATGCGCGCCCAGGGGGGCTGGCCTCCCACTTACCCACGGCAACCCGCCCCTGGAAAAAATGGAGGCACGACCCAGTTCTGACCAATAAAAATGAGTTTATTTGCTGGAGGCAAGTGAGAAAGAAGCTATGCTACGGGGTGGGCGAGAAGGTGCTGGCTATGGAGGAGGGGTCCGTGGAAGCTGCAGGCAGCCATCTTTGCTCCTGAGGCGGCGGCCTGGGGTGAAGCAGACAGTGCAGAGCGCAGAGGGGAGGTAGGAAGAAACCGGGTATTTGGTGAAATTGTTCATCTGCTGCCAATACCCCTGGACTTCTCAGTTTTGTAAACCGGTGAAGTTTCCTTTTATTGTTTAAACCAATTTCCTTTATGGTTAAACCAACGATTGGAAACCAAAAGCAGCCTGGCTGAAAGAGTTCTTTTTTGGATCAAAGTCTCACATTCACCTTTAGTGCTATTGAAAATGTCAACAGAAAAATTCCTGACTCAGAATAAAGGAGGGCGTTGGCAAGTCTGTCACGTGAGCGGTCAGATCACACGGGCTCCCACGCAGGCCCTGCTGTTGGATAGTCCCGGCTCTCAGGTGGGGCCGGGGGCTTCCATCCGCTCTTCAAATCCTTGGCCCAGAGGCCTCCGTCCGTCTTCCCAGCCCAGGGCCTCAGGCAGGGAGGGCGGCAGGGCTGGGTCTCCATCCTCCTGTGCACACGGCTTCCTTCCGGCCTCAGGCGCCCTGGGTGACCTCCTCCAAGGAGCAGGTGCCTGGGTGAACGCTAGTGCCCACATACCAGGCAGGTGGAAGGACCGGTGCCACCAGGCTGTGCTTCTGCCCACTCCCTGGCACTCTGAGGTTTCCTTTTGGGCAGTGGGGGGAGTGCAAAGTGAAAGCCCTTGTGCACACGTGGTGGGGGAGGGTCCGCTTCCGTTCTGGGGATGAGCACATGGCATAGGGGCTCGGCTGAGGCCTGGCTCTGGCACTGCCTTGCCGAGTCACCTCAAGCCAGTCACCTGCCATCCTTAAGGAGCAAGAATTACCCGTGGCCAGCGGGGGTCAAGTATATAGGGTGCCCACGGAAGAGCTTGACAGGAAGGGCCAGGACACCCCATCTCTGGGCCATGCTTGGCTATTGCTTGGCTTCTGGCCTCAGTTTATGGGACAGAAAGGGGAGGGCCGCTGCAGACACCCACCCCGCCCCGCCCCACCCCGCCCCGGGTCTGGAGTCAGGATGCAGGAAACTGAGTGAGGCTTAAGGAGTGGCCTTCACTGGGCAGAGTCAATGGCTGGGGAACAACATGGCACAGGGACTTGCCTGAGGTCACACCACAGAGCTGGGCCATGTTCACCCCCGACCCCCCAAGCTGCTTTTCCTTCATCGCGTGCACAATGGCTGCAGCAGCTGGGGGCGCCCAGGACTGGCTGGCACTCGGCCCCCTACCCAGGCCGGACCTGCCAGACGTCTGCAAAGGAATCACGTGAGGGGTTAGTCTCAGTGGGCTCAACATCAGATGCCCAAGCCCAGCCCTCGGCATCTTCCAGACAGCCCCTCTCTCCTTCTCCTCCGGAGGCACTTAGAGAAGTTGGCTGGACTCGGGTTGGAGCTCCAAGGAGTCTCGGCCGTCCCACCTTTTGTTTGAGGTGGAGGAGCCAACCCAGGTCAAGTGCATTCAGCGGTGCCTGGCACCTCGCAAGAGCCGGGTACAAGTTTCCTGGGTACCCACCAGCTAGGATTATAAGCCAAATCGCAACATCAGAACACATTTAATGCTACATGCAGCTGGCAGCCAGGCCGGGCTCATCTCCACACTCTGTGAATCTTATTTAGAGAACCCCTTCTCCTTAACTTCCGTGGCTTCGGGGTGCAGGAAGCGGCTGGCTAAACGTTCGATGTCATCCAGGGTCAGGCGGCTCAGGGACTTCTCATAATCCTGAGGAGAGAAGGCCAGGGGGATTCAGGGGGGTGCCCATGGGGGTACACCAGGCCAGAGGCAGGTGGGAGCAGCCGGGACAGGAGCGGACGTCTGGGGCTACCCTTCTCACCCTCTGTAGCTGATCTAGGACCCTGTTGGCATCGGCGGCACTGAAGTGGCGGGCCAAGACTTTGGCGATGAGCTGCCAGGCGGGTGGGCACAGGGGCGGGGCCTCGGCCACTTTCTGCGTGGCACTTTCCTCCACTAACACCTTCTCCAGAGGTTTGACCACGAGGTTGAGCTTGGAATTGGGCCCGATGCTGTAATCGGAGAGTCTTTTCCCATCTGCCAAAAAGAGATCGATGAAGTCACGACCAAGGGCGGTGGGGGCGGCCTCGGGGATTGCTGTGGCATCTGGCTGAGGAGGGGTCAGCCACCGCCCCGAGAGTCCAGTGGCCGATGCCCCAGCCCTAGCTCGGCCTGGACACCCGACCGCGATCTCATGCAGGGGCTCCCCGGTTACCCCCTCTCACCTCCTCTCCCCGTTACCTGCCAGGGCCTTGCCCTTGAACAGCAGCCGCTGCTGGCGCACAGGGACGTTCAGCTTCTCGGAGACCAGATGTTTCAGCGTGGACACCAGCTCATCCTCCGCCACCTGGCCGGGCCGAGGACGGGAGCGGGGGTTGAGCCCGCGGCCCCCGATGCTGGCGGCTCTCCCGACCTCCCCAGCGCGGCTGCCCGCCCGCCCGCCCGCTCCCCACCCTCAGCCCAGCCCGGAGCCCCGGACACGGAGGGGATCGCGGGCCTGGGGACGCTACCTGCAGGCTGCACTCACGGCCCTGGAGCGCCTTCACCGTCAGCTGCATGGCGGCCGCAGCGGCGTCCATCCAGGCCGACACGCACCCCGGAGCCCCCTGCCGCGCGCCGCCGCCCCGGGCGCGCGCCGGAACCGCCCGCCGCCGCCGGAAGCCGCGAGAGGGCGCGCCCGCCGCCCTGGCACCGCCCTGGCCCCGCCCCCGGCCCGCCCTGCCCGCGTGGCTCCTGGAGGAGGCGTCCCTCCGGTGTCCCGCTTCCTCCCCGCCCAGGGGCCGCCCCGGGTGGCAACCCCACCCTGCGATCGGGCAGGAGGGTCTGCCAGGACGGGGAGGACCGAGCTGGGCCCGGTGGGCTCCGCGGAGAGCTGGGGGTGGGGCAGGAGGGAGGGCCAGAGCCCGCTCGCCCCGCCCTGCGAACGGCCTGGCTCGCCCCGCTTGAGCAGCCGCTGGAGTAGCTGGTCGCGGTGCCATCACCCAGTCTGCCTCTCTGATCCACACAGGGCCCCGCCCTGGCAAGCTTGCCACACCGGCCACTGGCTCTCTGCCTCCTCCATCCCAGCCTGGCGGCCGGAAGCCAAGTGAACTTGGCAGCAGACGGGGAGCCAGGCCTTCGCTCTCATTCTCTCACGGCTCCTTCGAGAGCAGAGGGCCACTTGTAACCGAAGGGCAGCGTGGGAAGGAGAGGCTGAGAAAGTCTGAGCAGAGGTCACCGTGCCACCCGAGCCAGCCCTCCACCCTGGCCCACACCTACTTAGTCAACACCCTTCTGCCCCGCACCCTCAGGCCCCAAAGGGCAGAGACTGGAAGAGACCCGAGCTTGCTTCTGTCTTTTATTGAAATATATTTTCTGGGCAGTGCCTGCCTATGGAACTCAGCATGGCCTCTTTGGCACTGAAAGCCGGAGAATAAAAAAATCAGTAACAAAAATAAGCCTGGATTTTTCTGAGTGCATAGTGCATGAGAGCTAAAGGCCTTTGGTACACAAGAACGGTGGGGGCGGTGGGGGTCGCCGGGGAGGGGCAGGAGAGGAGGGTGGCAAAAGCATGGCCCAGGGTGGGCCTCAGGGAACCGGGCACAGGCTGCTATAGATGAAGTGCCCAATAACCAAGGCCAGCATCTCTGAGGTGCCGCTCAGCGCCACAATGAAGGGGGCCTGCGAGGCGTAGTCGGCTTGCAGGCGGCGGAGGGACAGCTGCAGCATGGCCAAGGCCAGCACGCTGTTCTGCACCCCCACCTCAATGCTGACCGTCCGCCGCTGGGCCACGGGCAGCTTCAGGCACATGGCCAGGCAGTAGCCCACCAGGAGGCCCACCAGGGGCACCGTGAGGCCCACCAGCACGATGGGCAGCCTGACGCCCGCCAGGATGAAGACCCCCATGCGGTAGGCCAGGAAGAGGCCGCCCAGGAGCAGCACGAAGCTGAACGGCTTGATGACCTGTAGCAGCAACTGCGAGAACTTGGGGAGCTTAGACTTGATCAGCACGCCCACCACGATGGGGATGGCGATGAACAGCAGGCTGCCCAGGATCTTGGAGATGGGCACGTGGAGTGTCTCGTGGATGCTGAGCAGGCGGCTGTACACGGCGGAGGACAGGGGCAGGAAACCGGTGGCGGCCACCGTGGAGATGAAAGTCATGGAGATGGCCAGGGTGACATCCCCTCCGAGGAGGAGGCTGAAGAGGTAGCTCCCCCCGCCACCAGGTGACGAGCAGGTGATGATGAGGCCCAGAGCCAGGGCCTGCGGCAGCATGAAGACCTTGGCCATGAAGAAAGCGTACAAGGGCATCACCAGGAACTGGCCCAGCAGGCCGAGCAGCATGGGCTGGGGGCTGTGCAGGAGCCCCTTCAGGACCTCCAGCTCCACTTTGCACCCGAACGAACACTTGTTGACGAAGATGAGGGGCAGCAGCAAGTAGAGGATCGGGTTCTCGGAGAAGTGGACCAGGTCGGTGCCAACGGTGGCGGGGGCATCCTCGGCGGGTAACACCTTGATGCAGAAATCTTTCCGCTCCTCAATCAGCGTCGGGGGGACTTCGTTGGGGTCCAGAAGCTGGATGTGGAGTGGGGCTAGCCCCGGCAGGCCCGAGTGGATGCCCACCACGAAGCCGCCCCCACTGCCCCAGGTTATGGCACTCACGTTTTGGATGGTCAGCACCTCCGTGGCCAAGGAGGTAACTCTCAGCGTGGCGGAGGGCCGTGGCCCGTTGCCCTGGCCTGGGTACTGGCTCGAGATAACGATGATGCCCTCACTATCCTCTGGGAACTCAAACTCCACCACGGAGCCGTCCCCGATGCTCAAGTAGGGGCCCCCCGGCAGGGGCCCAGGGTGGCCCAGAGCTTTGCTGAGGTTGGCAATGGCCGTTCCCTGTGCCCCCCAAGACAGGCTGGCAAGCAGAAGGGCAGCCCTGAGCATGCCTAGGGGGCCTTGGCAGCCACTGCCCCCTCCTGGGCCAGACCTCAGCTGGGAGCTGCTCCTTATCAATGCCATGGCTCCTGGCAGAGGATGGTGTGCCCAGGCCCTCTGTGACTTAGGAGAGCAGCCTCGCTGTTGCCTTTGTATTGTCCTGAGAAGGGTCCATGGGCGGGGCCTTCCTTGAAGACAGAGCTCTTCCTAAGGAGAGAAGGGACACAGGGAAGTGGCTGGTGAGGGCGAGCACTGGTGATCCTAGGAGCATGGGGACCTGGAAGTTCACTGCTGAGAGACTCAGGAGGCCCCCTGCCCCAAACCTTGGAACAGAAAGGCAATGTCTAGTGCTGGCTCTTGAGTGCCATTCGGCTGCCCCATCACAGTGGTCGGCAAACTGCGGCTCGCGAGCCACATGCGGCTTGAGAGCCCCGGTTTGCCGCTCCGTTGACTAATGAGTTTGCCGACCACTGGCCTAAGGAACAACAAGAGCCTGTAATGATTGGAACCGAGAGTCTAGGTCAATGGTCAGCAAACTCATTAGTCAACAGAGCGGCAAACCGAGGCTCGCGAGCCGCAGTTTGCCGACCACTGCCCTAGTGCAACTGCCTCAAGCTTGCCATCCCTAACCAGAGGGGCCACCTACAGATGGGGAGTTCCCAGTCAGCCTGCCCATACCTGCTGGTTTCCCTGGGCTTGCCCCCAGCACGGTGACCCTGCAGAGGTGCCCTGATATCAAGGGATTCGGGAGAGCCATTCCCAATCCTGTCACCACTAGTCTGATTTCCACCCGCTTCAAGACACAGCTAGAGCCCGGCTGCCATGGCTCAGTGGTTGAGCGCTGACCCAGGAACCAAGATATGCTCGGGTTGTGGGCTCGATCCCCAGTGAAGGCTCTCCTCTCTCATCGATGTTTCTATCTCTGGCTCAGGCCAGGTCCAAGAGGCCAGCAGAGAGCAGGTTAGGGCTCCTGAGCGCCAATTACCAGGCAGAAAGCAATCGGCAAAGCGGTGTGGACAGCAGGTGACCATCAGGACAAAGGACCCAAGAGCTGATGTCCGCCACCGACATGCAGTTGTAAATGGGGTTGCCATGGCTTTCTGGCCTCTCCTACCTGCTGACAGTGGTGTGATGGAGGGTGCAGGTCCCTTCTCCTCATGGAAGTTGCTGGAAGGAGAAGCAGGAGGGGCTCAGAGAGGGCCACATAGCCGCCTGGGGGGGTGGTCTTTTCCTCCCAGCAGTTTCCACTCCCTGGCAGTCCTAGAATTTGAGCCACTGTGCCATGTCTGAGGAGCTCTGCTCGGCCTCTTTCGGGTGCCCACAAGCAACCCTACCTGAGCTTGGAACTCCCAGTTGGACTTGAGTGTTTCTAGGGGGTGGGTGCCTCCGGGTGAAAGGAGGAGGTACACCTCCTTTCATTTCTTTATCTGGGTGGCCCCACCCTATTGTCAAATCGCCTGCTGGAACTGGGGCAACCAGGATGGGGACACAGCTGTTTTTCATCACTACTGTTGGTTGCCTCATGCCCTGCAGTGTCCCAGGCCTGGAAGAGGCACCTGGCCCTGTAGGTCCTATGAGTTTTTGGCCCTGATCTCCCTCATGTGAGACTAGGGAGCAGGGGAGTTCGTGGGTGGAAGGCAGGTTAAGCCAAGACTCACCCGTGGGAAAGTCTCTACCCCAGTGCCCCGGGATGCCATGGCCTCTGCTGAAGTTTGGGCCACTTACCACGGAGGCTTTGGTCCAGCCTGGTGTCCCGCCGCTGAAGAGAGAGGCAGGAGAACCAGAGTGGGTATGTGAGGAGGAAAGTGGAGGGGAGCCACAAGGAACAGATGGAGACACCAGGGACTGAGATCACGGGGGTGGCAGGAATCAGCTCAGAAGGGAGAGGAGGCTACGGGCCATTGACCCCGTCCTTCCAGGACAGCGGGTGGCTCTGAGTCACTGCTAGAAGGGTCTGGCCCAGGTCCCACGCCATTTCTGCTCGAAGGGTCGGAGGAGTTTGTGCAGAGGTTCCCCGAGGCAGGGAAGGGAACCCCGAGGCCCGCAGCTTTGCCCGCACCGGCCGAGGATTTGGTGTTAGAGCAGGTGACAGCGCTGACCCAGGGCTTCTCCCTACCTGGGAGTCTAGAAAGTTGTCGCACTGGGTATGGGAAGAACTCAGGAGCCAAGCGGGGAGGGAGAGAGGGACGGAAGGAGACGCGTGCCCGAATCTGACAGCTCCGCGATCTGCCAGAGGGTTCCAGGTTCGCGGCGGGGGCAAAGGGGGCCTCACGCCATTCTGAGGTCCCGCAGCCGCGCCAGGCCTCATGAACGCGGAGCGGCGGCCCTTCCCCGTCTGGCCGGGGCTAGAGGTCGCCTCCTTTCCGCCCTTTCCGGCCCGAGGCTCTCATCTGCAGCCACAAGCCCGGAGCTCAGCGTGGGCGCCAGACCCTGCCGGGCCTGGCGGACGCAGGCGAGCTCGGGGCCCGCAGGGGCCAGCCCCGCCCCCGAGGCCCCGCCCCGCCCCGAGGCCCCGCCCCCAGCGGCGCCTGCTCAATGCTCTAGGCTGGGGCCTTCCCACCGGATGTGACGTATATGGGAGCGACGCACTGGCGCAGGAGTGTGGATCTGGCCATCTTCTTGGTCACAGTTCTTAGCTGCTGGGTGTGGTCTTAGGAGGCACAGGAACTGCGTGTGAGTCGTCCATGATCGTGGGTCGAACCCTGGTGTCAAAATAAGACCACCAGAGACTGATAATTGAAAAAGCAGGCAAGGCCAAAACCGGTTTGGCTCAGTGGATAGAGCGTCGGCCTGTGGACTGAAAGGTCCCAGGTTCGATTCTGGTCAAGGGCATGTACATTGGTTGCAGGCACATCCCCAGTAGGGGGCGTGCAGGAGGCAGCTGATAGGTGTTTCTCTCTCATCGATGTTTCTCTCTATTCCTCTCTCTTCCACTCTGTAAAAAAATCAATAAAATATATATTTTTTAAAAAAGAAAGAGAAAAGAAAAAGCAGGCAAGGATTTATTGAACTGGCCAGCGACAGCCAAGAGAGCACCACACACAGGTGGAGTCCAACCTCACAAGCGTGCTTTTCCAGGTGTAGGCAGTCCTTTTAAAGGTCTAAACCACAAAAATTTTCCTTTGTTCTAAATTCTAAATGCTGAGAACAGCCTGCAGGGTCATTCCCAGCCAGATCCTGCTGGATGTTGGAATGTGGACCTATCTTGTGAAAGCAGATAGTACATAAGCAGAACTGAGCAAAGTTCATCTCTAAAGGTTATCAGCAGTTTCAACTCCTGGAGCTACTGAGTCAGTGGGAATCAATCTCCTGTGGTTCTGGTCCAAAGGCATGGGAAAATCTGGAAGCTGTAATTACCCTATTGTTTAAGCAAGTAAGTGAGCGCAGAAGCCAGAATAGCAGGGTTAAAATTCAAGCAGCAGTTTTTACCTAAGTATGGTTGCTACCATATTTCACTCTGGGGGCTGGGGGCCACAGGCTTAGCTGTTAGCACAGCAGGGATGCCTCAGGTCTGGGTTCGGACCATGTTCCTTCTGGTGCCCAGCCCTGTAGCTTTAGGGCCGAGGCTTAGCCTAGTTCCACCTTCCTCCTGACTGCATTTAAAAATATATATATATTTTATTGATTTTTTTTTACAGAGAGGAAGAGAGAGGGATAGAGAATTAGAAACATCGATGAGAGAGAAACATCAATCAGCTGCCTCTTGCACAACCCCTACTGGGGATGTGCCTACAACCAAGGTACATGCCTTTGACCAGAATCGAACCAGGGACCTTTCAGTCTGCAGGCGACGCTCTATCCACTGAGCCAAACCGGTTTCTGCTCCCCTGACTGCGTTCACTCTCCCTGACCCCCTGGCACCAGTGGACTTGTCCACTTTTCAACACTATCTGGGCCACCAGCAAGGTCCAGAGGATTCACAGAGAAGAAATGCAAATCGATGGCATAAAGTTGGGCAAAAAGGTGGTGAGGGTGGACGCGGGAAGACAGTGAACAGCTGCAGAGTTGAAGGGGATGTGCATGTTCTCAAAGGCCGCATGCAGGGCAATTGCATTCAGTGGCCAGTGGGTCAATGGCTCTGGAAGAACCTTGTCACAGCTGTGATGGAGACCATGGCCCTAAAGTTGCAGGTACTTTCCGTGAGAGGCACACAAGCACATCGTTGAGAATGTCTAAAAAACCCACATCATCTGTACTTTCATTTGCATTTTCAAATAAATGCTCATAATGCTTTTAATATAAATGTATTAAATACATTTTATTTTAAAATTTCATATTTGTTTTCTAAAGTTCAGATTAGTACGTGCATATGATACGTATGTATATATACCCAGTGTGGGGTTGCATGCTCCAGAGGGTTGGATTGATGTGGGTGATCAAAAATATTCAGAGGCCATACCTCTCAGCTGTTCTTTAGTCTCAGAGGACCAGTAAGTCGCAGGCTATTTGCGTGTGGACTTGGTGTTTGGGAACGCTTGCAACTGCCCGTCTCAAGTGGAGTTCAGGGGTCCTGCTGGAAGCAGGCTGGCACACGTGAAAGGGCTTGGCTTGGCACATGTTGTATTGAAGACTGAAGCTTGCCAAAGTGTGGTGGGGGGAGGGCTGTCTGAGGCTGGGGAAAAGCTGGCCAGATGGATAAGGGGAAGAGGTCTGGTGCAAGAACAGGGTAAAAGATGTGTCCTTCCTGGAAAACCGGCTTTTGGTTTATTTTTGTTTTTTTTTCCCTTGCTCGAAGATATGTTTATTGATTGATTGATTGATTGAGAGAGAGAGAGAGAGAGAGAGAGAGAGAGAGAGAGAAACATGGATGTGAGAGAGAAACACCAATCCATTGCCTCCCATAAGAACCCTGACCTGCCCCCTGGCTGGTTTGGCTCAGTGGATAGAGCATCGGCCTGTAGACTGAGGGAGGCCCCAGATTTGATTCCAGTCAAGGGTACATGCCCGGGTTGCAGACTCAATCCCCAGTGCGGGGTGTGCAGGAGGCAGCCAATCAATGATTCTCATCAATGATGTTTCTATCTCCTTCCCTCTCCCTTCCTCTCTGGAATCAATAATAAATATATATTTTTAAAAACCCTGACCAGCCGAAATTGGTTTGGTTCAGTGGTAGAGCGTCGGTGTGCGGACTGAAGGGTCCCAGGTTCGATTCTGGTCAAGGGCATGTACATTGGTTGCAGGCACATCCCCGGTGGGGAGTGTGCAGGAGGCAGCTGGTTGATGTTTCTCTCTCATCGATGTTTCTGGCTCTCTATCTCTCTCCCTTCCTCTCTGTAAAAAATCAATAAAATATATTAAAAACAAAACAAAACAAAACAAAAAACCCTGCCCAGGGATTGAACCCACAACCTATTGGTGTATGGGATGACACTCCAACCAACTGAGCCATGAACCAGGGCAAAACCTATGTGCTATTTTTATTATTATTGATTTCAGAGAGGAAGGGAGAGGGAGAGAGAGAAACTCAATGATGAGAGAGAATAATTGATTGGCTGCCTCCTGCATGTCCCCTACTGGGGACTGAGCTTACAACCCAGGCATATATCCTGACTGGGCATCAAACCGTGACCTCCTGGTTCATGGTTTGACTCAATCATTAAGCCCCAGCACTGGATGAAACCTGTGTTTTTATATTCCAACTGAATAGGAATTGGTGCCAGGGTCAAGGAGAGCAAATGCAGCCAGAGGCTTGCTCCCCATTACCATCAGTGACGTCAGCCTTCCCTGAAAAGCCAGAGTGGGCTGCTGGGGTGTCTGACAGCGGGCAATGTGGAGGCTTTCTCTACAGGACAAAGGGAGGGCTAAATTAAAGGCAAGATCATGTTTGCAGTTAATATAACAGATTCATAATTTACTCCAGAAGAGGAGGAAGGGCCCAAGATATCTAGTTTCAAAAGAGAAGTCGTCTGGACTGAGAACAGAGAACAAATTATAACAGCCGAACCAATACAAACGCACCTCAGATGGGAGACCTGCCACCTTATTAATAGGCTCACAGTGATGATCCTGAGAGCAGTTCCTACCTTTTGCTCTCCAGGCAGGGGCCGCCCGGAATGCTCTGTGATAAAAATAAGCAAGCATGGAAGGAAGTCATGTTCTATACAAGCACAAGGAGGGGAGGCATTTAATCTTTTCAAAAATACGTTATTTTTAAAAAATAAAAAGATATATGTTATTGATTTCAGAGAGAAAAGGAGAGGGAGAGATAGGAACAACAATGATGAGAGAGAATCATGGATCGGCTGCCTCCTGCACACCCCCTACTTGGGATCGAGCCCGCAACCCAGGCTTGTGCCCTGACCGGGAATTGAACCATGACCTCCAGGTTCATAGGTCAATGCTCAACCAGTGAGCCATGCTGGTTGGGCCCTGGATATATTTGATCTTTTCAGGGAAGTGTAGTGCCTACCTAGCATCAGGTCACAGTACCTCAGTTTCCTTTTGGGGGAGCCATCTCTCCTTTACTCTCAGTATACAAGGCTTGCATGTGGATGACCCCACTGCTGGACTCTGGGGTAGGCATATGCCCAGGGATAGCCAAGCAGAGCCACACAGACTGATGCAAGGATAAGCCTATAACCCAGTCTGAACCAATGAGACTCAGTCCCCAGGGAATAGAGGAACTATTGGGAAGGTGAGAGCTGTTTTTTTGGCTGGGGTTGCCTCCCCCTACCTGGGGGAAACATATGTTTGAAAAGGAATAAAATACAGAGAAAAGCAAAGCCAAGAGATGGAGAGAGCCCATGTCCTGGTGACATTTTTAAAAAAATATTTTTATTTTTATTGATTTCAGAGAGGGAGAGGGAGAGAGATAGAAACATTGATGAGAATCATGAATTGACCGCCTCCTGCACGCCCCCTAGTGGTTGATCAAGCCTGTGACCCAGGCATGTGCCCTTGACTGGAATTGAACCTGGGACCCTTCGGTCCTTAGGTGGCCGCTCTATCCACTGAGCCAACCCAGCCAAGGCCTGGTGACTTTATTAGAGCTGGTATCACCTGTGGGCTTTAGGTACATTACAGGAATAATAAGTCCCCCTCCTATTATTACTTAAATTTTTTTTTTATTGATTTTAAAGATATATTTGTTGTTCCACTTATTTATACACTGAGTGGCCAGATTATTATGATCTCTGAACAAATAATAATCTGGTCACTCAGTGTATATCCTATATAACAAAAGGCTAATATGCAAATTGCCCCCTTAACCAGTTCAACCAGCAGGAAGGCTGGCCAACCGTCCATGTTCCTTCCCCCTGGCCAGACTGGCCAAACCCCACCCATGCACAAATTCATGCACTGGGCCTCTAGTATATATCTCACACACACACACACACACACACACACACACACTCTCTGAATGGCCAGATTATTATATTTTCAGAGATCATAATAATCTGGCCACTCACTGTATATTTATTGGTTATTGGTTGATTCTTGTGTGTGCCCTCACACACACACACACACACACACACACACACACACACACACACACTGAGTGGCCAGATTATTATGCATTCAGATATCACACATAATAATCTGGCCACTCAGTGTATATTTGTCAAACCCACAGACTACCACCCAAGAGGGAACCTTAATGTCAACTGTGGGCTTTGGGTGATGATGATGTGGTACTGTATTTTTTTTGTTTTGTTTTGTTAATCCTCACCCGAGTATATTTTTTTCATTACTTTTCAGAGAGAGTGGGAAGAGGGGGAGAGAGAAACAGTGCTTGCCTCCCACATCACCCCAACCAGGGCTGGGGATCGAACCTATAATACAGGTATGTGCTCTTGACCAGGAATCGAACCTGTGACACTTCAGTGCCTTGGCCAGTGCTCTTCCACTGAGCCACACATACCTGAGTTCACCATACTTTTTGCTCAACTTTGCTGTGAACCTAAAACTCTAAAAAGGAAAGTCTCGCCCTGGCTTGTTTAGCTCAGTGGTTAGAATGCTGACCCATGGACTGAAGGGTCATGGGTTTGGTTGCTGGTCAAGGGCACGTACCTAGTTTGCAGGTTTGATCCCCAGCCCCAGTTGGGAGACAACCAGTTGATATGTTTCTCTCACATCAATCCACCCCCCCCTACTTCTTCCCTCCCTTCTACTATCCCTAAAAAAGAAAAAAAAGAAAAAAATATTCTCAGGCCAGAATTAGGGAAAAAAAAAAAAGGAAAAAAAAGTCTATGAAAAAATGGATACATGTACAGTGTCAGCTTCCATGATCAGCATCTTCTGGGCAAGCAATCTGGGCCCTCCTCGGGTCTCCACTTCCCTGGCCCTCCAAGTCCTGGCATCGCCACCAATACCTCTCTTTCAGCTGAGACCGATTTGGCTCAATGGATAGAGCGTCGGCTTGGGGACTGAAGGGTCCCGGGTTCAATTCCGGTCAAGGGCATGTGCCTTGGTTGCGGGCATATCCCCAGTAGGGGGTGTGCAAGAGGCAGCTGATCAATGACTCTCCCATCAATGTTTCTAACTCTCTATCTCTCTCCCTTCCTCTCTGTACAAAATCAATAAAATATATTAAAAAAAAAAAAAGACCTCTCCTTCATGCCTCCTCACTTCTCTTCAGCCTGCTTTTTAAATCTTTTGTTTCTTAACAACTCGCTCGTATTCTGACCACACTGAACTAGAAGGCAGAGGCTTGGGCTGCCTGGCTGGTGCCCCATCTCCCATCTAGAAAGTCTAACCTGCCTTCTTTTCTTCTTCTTTCTTTCTTTTTCTTTTCTTTTCTTTTTTTTTTTTTTTTTTTTTTTTTTGTTTATCCTCACCCGAGGATATTTTCCCATTGATATTTAGAGAGAGTGGAAGGGAGGGGGAGAGACAGAGACACATTGATGTGAGAGAGACGCATCCATTGAGACACATTGATTGGTTGCCTCCTGCATGCGCCCTGACCAGGACCAGGGATTGAGCCTACAACCGAGATACATGCCTTTGACCAGAATCGAACCCATGACCTTTCAGTCCACAGGCCAATGCTCTATCCATTGAGGCAAACGGGCTAGGGCAGTGACCTCTCTTCCTTTTCTGACTCCATACCATAGTACCCCCCCCCACCCCAGCAATGTGGTATTCCAGCAAAACTGTTATAGTTTTTTGCTGGTTCACACTCAATGAAGGGAAATAGAACTAATCTGTGAGAAATGATAAATAGTCCACGTGACTCTGCCCTTTGCAGTCCTGATTTCAAAGGCATCCAAGCAGAGTGCTGTGGGGAGACACACTAGCTCCCAGGGAGGCTGGGAGTAGTGGGAGGCCCAGACTGGATTTATTCCCCATGTGTGTTCCTACAGGCATGTGCTGGGTGTGAGGGAGACAGTAGGTTTCCTGCCCAGAGAGCAGAATAGTCTCTCTCGGGCAAGGATATGGGCTACCAGCTGGCGAGCTGCTCAGCTTGCTGAGTCACAGCTCAGTGACAGCAGGACACGTCTGCGGCAGAGTCCTGGAGGCAACAGCAGTCTGCTAAGGCTGTGGGGTGGGTTGGCTGAGCCTCCAGGCCATGTCCCTCCCTCAAGGACAATACCATCCGACTCCATGTTGAATACACGCATTCCACTGAGGCACCGATTTATTAAGAGGTCATCTAGAAGCCGGGTCCTGTGACAAACTGCAGGAGCTGTCACCCACTGCATCAGGGCCCGTGATAGGCTCACTACTCTCCTACCCTGGCCAGCCAGGCTCTAAGGCGGCCCCTTCCTACGGAGAGCGGGGCAGGAGGCAGCCAGGTGGATCTCTGCTATGAGCCGCCAGATGTGGCTCACCGGAAGGAAACCCGTGGGAAACAGGACTAGCCCGCAGAGCAGTGAGCGGCTCTGGGCAGAGAGCTTCCGGAAGTTGCCCAATTAGGCAGCTGTGCAGCCAGGGGGTGAGCACCCAGGGCCTTGGGAAGTGGGTGGGGGCTGACTAGGGAAAGCAGCCTTAGGAAAAGAAGGAGATGGGTACCTGGTTACCCCTGCCAAAGTACAATGAGGCTGGCCATCGCAGTCTCCACCACCAGTCACGCACATGGGCCACCGCGCACCGCCTCGGAGCCCTGATGTGTTGAACAAGGGAGCACTCCTGGCCGGTGTGGGATCGGGACTCAGCCCTGCGCTGGCACCACTGCTGCCTCCTCCTGGGCCAGGCACACGCAGCCTCCTTAGTCCGGTTCTTGTTTGGCTGGCTAGCTGGCTGTGCTTCTCCTCGGGATGCAGCCTTCCATCTCCAGCGCCTCGGGCCAGCCTTCATACTTGTTGGTGTGCCGGCTGTTCTTCATATGCTGCAGGGTCAGGGGAGGGGGGAGTCAGCCTCAGCTCTCAGGCACCCCAGAAAGAACTGGCAGTACCCCTAGGCCGGTGTCAGCCAACCGTTCACTCTCAGAGCACCCGCCCCCTCTGTCTGTCCTGGCACCTTGATCTTTCTCGTGGAGAAATGGCCCTGGCTACACGGGGAAGCCCTCCGCAGGAGCAGGGAGAGGTCAGCTCCTCTGCACCTCTGTGGGCCTGGCACACGCTGGGGAGGGAGGGCAGGGGTCTGTCTGTCCACCTGTCTCTGCCCAGCCCACACGGAGCTGCTGGAAGTTATAGAAGAGCAAGCTCAGAGGGAGTATTTCTTCTCTGGGTGGGGGTGAGGGGTGGGGGTGGGGTGTTAAGCTGCTCTCTTGGTAACCAGAACCTTCCAGAAATCAGCGGAGGCTATTTCTTTTGTCTTGCTGTGGAGACCCGACAGCTTTCACAGAACAGGGAGCTTCCCAACAATGAGGAGGGCACCGGGGGCTTCCCAGCCCCTCGCATGGGGCATGACACGGGTGGCCCCAGAGGAGCCTCCAGCCAGCCAGCAGCCAGGCTGGTGGAGAACGGCATGCAGTGTGACTCTGGGTATTGGGTTTTGGGAGGATGGGGAGCACCAAGCATCTTTTTCTTTTTTTAAAAATATATTTTATTGATTTTGTACAGAGAGGAAGGGAGAGAGATAGAGAGTTAGAAACATCGATGAGAGAGTCATCGATCAGCTGCCTCCTGCACACCCCCTACTGGGGATATGCCTGCAACCAAGATATATGCCCTTGACCGGAATCGTACCCGGGACCTTTCAGTTCCCAAGCTGACGCTCTATCCATTGAGCCAAACCGGTTTCGGCGAGCACCAAGCATCTTGAAGATGTTTAGGAGGCGAGTTGCCAGTGGGCAGCACTCAGAGTCCCTTTGGGGCCTGGCCGGCAGGCTCAGTGGTTGAGCATCGACCTGTGAACCAGGAGGTCATGGTGCGATTCCCGATCAGGGCACATGCCTAGGTTGTGGGCTCAGTTCCAGGTGGGGGGTGTGCAGGAGGCAACCCATCAATGATTCTCTCTCATCGTTGATGTTTCTCTCTCCCTCTCCCTTCCTCTTGGAAATAAAAAGAAAAATAAACTTAAAAGAAATTCATACTTGTAAAAATAAAAATAAAGCCGAAACCGGTTTGGCTCAGCGATAGAGCGTCGGTCTGCGGACTGAAAGGTCCCAGGTTCGATTCCGGCCAAGGGCATGTACATTGGTTTCGGGCACATCCCTGATAGGGGGTGTGCAAGAGGCAGCTCGTCAATATTTCTCTGTCATCGATGTTTCTAGCTCTCTATCTTTCTCCCTTCCTCTCTGTAAGAAAATCAATAAAATATATGTTAAATAAATAAATAAATAAATAAATAAAGACACTTGCCAAAACCGGTTTGGCTCAGTGGATAGAGTGTGGCCTGTGGACTGAAAGGTTCCAGGTTCGATTCCGATCAAGGGCATGTACCTTGGTTGAGGGGACATCCCCAGTAGGAGGTGTGCAGGAGGCAGCTGGTCGATGTTTCCCTCTCATCGATGTTTCTAACTCTCTATCCCTCTCCCTTCCTCTCTGTAAAAAAATCAATAAAATATATTTAAAGAAAATAAAAAAATAAAGACACTTTGGAATGAAATCCATCCAGGACAGACCGGGAGAGGCCAGGGCTGCCTCAGCGGGGGGTAAGGGAGGGTTTGGAGAAGACTGCAGTATGAACAGAAGGGGACCTCATGAGATGCAGGCGGGAAGCCTGGGCCCGCTGCCCTGGGCTGGGAAACGGAGTTGCCAGCCTCCCCCGCACCCTGTACCTGCTCAAAGGGGCTCTTGTTCTGCACACCCTTGGCCCCCACAAACACCCAGCTGTCCCGGAAGGCGAGCTCCTTGACGTTCTTGCTGCCCAAATCGCTGAAAAGCTTCCTGGTCTCTTCGTTCATCCTGCCGCACAGAAGGAGAAGGTATGAGCGGTCACCATAGGAGGGCGAGGCTGAGGCTGGCCCGGGCAAGCACTTACTTGGTGGCTGGGTCGTCGTAAGATGCCACAAACACCAGGGTGCCTTCATGCAGTGGCCGGATAAACTTCAGTAGATCGTTGACATCTGGGGGCACAGGTCCCATGGAACACGGAGCATCAGGCACCACTGGGCTTCCCTCCCCCACCAGCCCCCATTCTCCAAACGAGGACACTTAGAGTAGGGACCAGGCCAGGGACACAGCCCACAAAGGGTCACAGGAGTGAACTGGTATAAGAAGCCAGGGCACTCCCCATAGCCACACACCTGTCCCTGCCCCAGCCTTTTCCAAACCCAAGGAAGTGCCCGAGAAGCCCCCAGCAAATGGCCAGAGGAAGGGCAGTGTTTAGGGGCGGGAAACCCAGTCGTTCTGCCGCACAATAAAAATTGGGGCGCCAGGCGGCCACTCACCTCCTGCCCACATGTCGAAGGCCCGGGCCTCGATGAGCTCACCGCTGACTCCTGGATCAACAGGGAGGATGGGGTGTTCCTGGGCAAGCCACCAGGGCAAACCCACCCTGCCACCTCGGTCCTCCCAGACTGGGCTCAACACATGGCATGGCCACTGGGTGCAGCCCTTCTGGAACCTTTTCAACTGTCCCTCCTCCCCCCATATCAGCCTGGCTGGTGTGGCTCAGCGGTTGAATGTTGACCGATGAACCGGGAGGTCATGGTTTGATTGAGATTCTCGGTCAGGGCGCATGCTTGGGTTGTGGGCCCGATCCCCAGAGGAGGTGTGTAGGAGGCAGCCGGTCAATGATGTTTCTCTCTCTCTATCCCTCTCCCTTTCTCTCTCTCTCTAAAAATCAATAAAGGGCTGAAACCGGTTTGGTTCAGTGGATAGAGCGTCGGCCTGCAGAATGAAGTGTCCCAGGTTCGATTCCGGTCAAGGGCATGTATCTTGGTTGCAGGCACATCCCTAATAGGGGGTGTGCAGGAGGCAGCTGATTGATGTTTCTCTCTCATCGATGTTTCTAACTCTCTCTCTCTTCCTCTCTGTAAAAAATCAACAAAATATATTTTTTTAAAAATCAATAAAGGGAAATTTAAAAAAAAAAAGCAAATATATATAATATATACATATACCCCCCCCCCCATATTCCTGCCAACTATGCCCTTATTCAGACAGCTGTGGCCCATCCAAGGCTTCAGAGCTTGTGCCTGGCATTTGAGACCTTCCAGGTGCGCCCTTCAAATTCCTGGAAACTCCTAATTATTTCCTACTATCATCCTTTTAAAAAATATATATTTTTTTATTTCAGAGAGGGAGAGATAGAAACATCAATGATGGGAGAGAATCAATGATCAGCTGCCTCCTGCATGCCCCGCACTGGGGATTGAGCTCTCCTGCTGCCATGCTTTTGTACACCGAGTCACTTCTGTGGACCTTTCAGCGAGCACAAACCCCTGCCCCACCTCCTTGGGAATTCTGAGGGGAGGGGAGGGGAGGGAAGGGGAGGTCTAAGAGAAACACTCAGATACCTCCTCCTTGTGGGGAGGTCACAGCACAGTAGGGTTCCACTTTCCTCAACCAAACTCTGACCCCGCTTCAGAGGGAACTTACCATTCACCAGGGCAATGTTCAGTCCTCGACCCACGTTGTCCTTGACACTGCTCATGAGCCTAGCAAGGGGACAGCCCTCAAGTGGCACGTCTGCTCCACTCTTCTGCTTCTGATCACCCATTCCTCCCCCAGCCCCCTTTCCAAAGAACTCACATCTTGTCCTCCAGGCAGATCTTGGGCCCGATGACATTGGCAGCCCCGCTGACCATGCGGAAGGCCAGATGCTCCTCAGGACACGGCTGGGGCAGGCCGCACTTGTACTTCCTGGCCCGCGGCTCTGGGCGGGGACAGTAGGGGTGACCCATGGGCCTGGCCCTGGGTCACCCGAAGTCTGAGAGAGGGAGGTCGGGACCGGCCCACAGGGAGGAGTGACTGATGCCTGAGCAGGGGGCTAGTGCAGGGAGAGGGCATGGCTCAGGCCAGGAACACCTCCACAGACATTCTGTATCCCCTGGGCCGCAGGGCAAGGTGACAGGGACCCCTATGGAGGCTTTTCTGCCACTGATCAGAGAGAAGAAAGGAGTAGCAGCTGGGAGGGCAAATGTACAAATGGGAGGGCACCTGGCCCAACCGGTGTGGCTCAGTGGTTGAATGTCGGCCTATGAACCAGGGAGTCAACAGTTTGATTCTTGGTCAGGGCTCATGCTCAGGTTTTGGGCTCAATCCCCAAAGGGGGCGTGCAAGAGGCAGCCTGTCAATGATTCTCATCGCTGATGTTTCTGTCTCTCTCCCTCTCCCTTCTTCTCTGAAATCAATTTTTTTTTTTTTTTTAATTTCAGAGAAGAAGGGAGTGGGAGAGAGATGAGAGATAATCATTGACCAACTGCCTCCTGCACGCTCCCTACTGGAGACTGAGCCCGCAACCCAGGCGTGCACCCGAATTAAACCTGGGACCTTTCAGTCCACAGGCAGATGCTCTAGCCATTGAGCCAAACCAGCTAGGGCAATATATATATATATATATATATATAAAATATATATTTTATTGATTTTATACAGAGAGGAAGCGAGAGAGATAGAGAGTTAGAAACATCGATGAGAGAGAGTCATCGATCAGCTGCCTCTTGCACACCCCCTACTGGGGATATGCCCGCAACCAAGGTACATGCCCTTGACCGGAATCGAACCCGGGACCCTTCAGTCCCCAAGCCGACGCTCTATCCACTGAGCCAAACCGGTCCCGGCACAAAATATATTTTTTTAACAAAGAGAGACAGCACCTGATTCCCACGGGGCACAGGAAGAAGGACAGCCTCTGTCACAGGCTATATTGCGTCCCCACAAAAGATATTTTAAAAATACATTTTTAATAAAGCAGCAGAATATTAACAAAAGGTGAAGCTGGGTACAATATTCTTTATCCTATTTTTTCCCCCCAATTTTCTATAGGTTTGAAATTATTTCCAAGTAAATGAGTAAGAATCATTTTTTAAAGAATGTGTGCAATCATTTTATTAAACTGATAATTTTATTTTCCTGGATTGGTTTTATACCTTGCCAATAAACACACTTATGTCCCCCTCCCCTCAAAAATTTTTTTTTAAAGTATATTTTATTGATTTTTCACAGAGAGGAAGAGAGGGGGATAGAGAGTTAGAAACATCGATGAGAGAGAATCATCAATCAGCTGCCTCTTGCACACCCCCCACCGGGGATGTGCCCGCAACTCAGGTACATGCCCTTGACCGGAATCGAACCCGGGACCCCTCAGTCCGCAGGCCGACGCTCTATCCACTGAGCCAAACCGGTCCCGGCCCCTCAAAAATTTTTTTATTGATTTCACAGAGGAAAGGAGAGTGTGAGAGAGATAGAAATATCAATGATGAGAGAGAATCATTGATCGGCTGCCTCTTGCACGCCCCCTACTGGGGATAGATCCCTGATGCGAATGGAACTGTGACCTCCTGGTACATAGGTCAATGCTCAACCACTGAGCAACACCGGCTGGGCTGGCCAGTTGCAGAGAGATAAGTGGAGACCAGAAACCCTGGAGAGCTGGAGGCGGGCAGGGGTATCACGTAAGTAGGAGGAGGGGCAGGCCCAGAAGGGCAGGGAGGTCACAGGAGCCTTACCTGCCGTCACTGAGTTCTCTGGGCCTGTGGGTAGAGAGTTGTTTCTGTCAGTGTGGGGCTGCAGCAGGACAGCCTGGCCCTATACCATGCAGTCAAGGTGGTGGAGCAGCTGGCTCAGAGGCCAAGGGTTAACCAGGCTGATCTTGGCATGCTCTTACTCAAGTCTAAATGATGCTCATAAGCAAAGCTCCCTGCTCCAGGAAAATTATAAGTTGGAATTGCACAAAGTACTTAGGTCACCAGAGACAAGGTGTAGAGTCCCCTGCTCATCTCAGAGCTCAGCAGAATGTCCGCAAGGAGCAACCAGGGAGTCATCCCCAATGTTCAGCGGAAGCCCCTCTGCCCCTCACTCAGGCCCCGCCCACTCCAACTGGGCTCAGAACGAATCAGCGGGGATTTGCTGCTCAGCCAAAGCAACCTCCTAACCAGAAGGCTGTGCTGGATGCCAGGAGTCAGACAAGGAAGAGAAAGGAAATCCAGGCCACTCCCACTCCCAGCCTGAGCCTCAGCCCAGGGGCCCAGCTGGCCACCATGGGGATCTCTGTACCAGGCAAGGGAAAGTCGCACACTCACTGATGAAGAGTTGCTGGATGCGAGAGAAGCCAGTGCCAGGCCCACCCAGGAAGATGCTGACTATGATCCAGGTGAGAGCCACAGTCACAACCAGGGCCACGATGCGGAGCGGGCCTGGAGGCAGGACAGACAAGGCAAGGCCACCTCAGATGCCAGTGAGCTCCCAGTGGTCCCAGGGCCTCTTGCGACCAGACCTCCCCATCCACTTGGGATGAGGTGACTAGAGGACAGGAAGGTGGAGACCTGTGGCCGGCCACCGGCTGGAGGGGGGGGCAGTTCCAGGGCTTAGCTTGGTAACCCCAGGCAGGTGTGGGGGCCTTCCAGAACTCACTGCTCAAACTCACTATCCCCCAGGAGCACCCAACCAACTGCCCGAGGCTGCCGAGGTTTGTGATCCACCCACCACATCCTCTTCTGTTGTGATGGAGGAGGTCCCTAGTACTTTTTTTTTTTTTTAATTTTTAAATATATTTTATTGATTTTTTAACAGAGAGAGGAAGAAAGAGGGATAGAGTTAGAAACATCGATGAAAGAGAATCATCGATCAGCTGCCTCTTGCACACCCTCCACTGGAGATGTGCCTGCAACCAACGTACATGCCCTTGAGCGGAATCGAACCCGGGACCCTTCAGTCTGTAGGCGGACGCTCTATCCACTGAGCCAAACCGGTTTCAGTCCTAGTCCTTTGGATCCCTAGCTCTCCTTCCTGCTCAGGTTTCTCTCTTTTTGTGTGTGTGTGTGTGTGTGTGTTTTAATTTTTTAAAAATTGATTTCAGAGATGAAGGAAGAGGGAAAGAAAGATGGAACCATCCATAATGCGAGAGAATCATAGATTGGCCGCCTCCTGCACGCCCCCACTAGGGATTGAGCCTGCAACCTGGGCATGTGCCCTTGACCAGAATCAAACCTGGGACCCTTCAGTCCGCAGGCCAATGCTCTGTCCACTGAGCCAAACAGGCTAGGGCCCTGCTCAGGTTTCTTGTAACAGCAATCATCCCATCTCTGTCTTTTCTATTGTCAACATCTCTCCTCCTGCCCCAGCTGGTTTTTCTTAGTAGTTAGAGCATCGGCCCGCAGATAGAAGGGTCCTGGGTTCGATTCCAATCAAGAGTGTGTGCCTTGCCGAAGCCGGTGTGGCTCAGTGGATAGAGTGTCGGCCTGTGGACTGAAAGGTCCCGGGTTCGATTCCGGTCAAGGGCATGTACCTTGGTTGCGGGCACATCCCCGGTATGGGGTGTGCAAGAGGCAGCTGATTGATGTTTCTCTCTCATCGATGTTTCTAACTCTCTATCCCTCTCCCTTCCTCTCTGTAAAAAATCAATAAAATATATTAAAAAAAAAAAAGTGTGTGTGCCTCGGCTGCAGGCTTGATTCCTGGCCCTGGGGGAGAAAGGCAACCAACTGATGTTTCTCTCCCCCCCCCACTCAAAAAAATCAATGAAAAATATCCTTGGGTGAGGATTAACAAAAACAAAACCAAAAACAAAAGCTCGGCTGGTGGGGCTCAGTGATTGAGCATCCACCTATGAACCCAGAAGTGGTTCAATTCCCCATCAGAGCACACGCCCTGGTTGTGGACTCCATCCCCAGTGTGGGGTGTACAGGAGGCAGCTGATCAATGACACTCTCTGGTCATGGATGTTTCTATCTCTCTCTCCCTCTCCCTTCCTCTCTCTTAAGTCAATAAAAATATATTTAGCCCTAACCAGTTTGGCTCAGTGGATAGAACGTAGGCCTGCACTGAAGGATCCCAGGTTCGATTCCAGTCAAGGGCATATACCTGGGCTGTGGGCACAACCCCAGTAGGAGGTGTGCAGGAGGCAGCTGATCAATGTTTCTCTCTCATCGATGTTTCTAACTCTCTATCCCTCTCCCTTCCTCTCTGTAAAAAAAATCAATTAAAAATATATTTTAAAAATAAAAAACAAAAACACCTTCTTTCCAAGGCCACCTATGACATTCTTGGTGTCACCTCTGATCTTTCTTGACTTCTGTCTTCTGCCCCAGGCACTCCTGCTGAAAACAATTCCCCGCTGGGTTCCAGAGCAACGAAAGCTGGCCCATCCTCCTTGCTTTATCCTCTTCCTCTACTCTCCCCGGAAAATCTAAACTTTCCCAGGCTGTCTTCTCTGCCTACTCTACTTTCTTCCTCTACCCTCCTCATACGTGCTCTCACCTACTCCCCGCCTTGAATCAACCCCCAGGGAGCCGTGGCAATCTATGTTTTTGCCCCAGCCTTGAGCCTACCCCCTCCCGGCGAGTTCCCCACTGGCTCGCTCCACTAAAATGCATTAATAATGTGTCAACCTTACCAGGTACACAACTCTTGGGTTCTGTTTTCCACCCCCCAAGCTGGCCCTCCCTAATCCACGTTCATCCTTCCTTACCCAGCCCACAGCTGGGCTAGCGCTAGGCTCATATTCAACCCCAGAGCCACTTGGGTCAGTTTCTCCTTTAAGACCACTACTCTCCACCCAGTCTGGTTGCTCCCAGGAGCCTCTCTCCCCTCCCACAACCTGTTTTCCAAACAGCGACCAGTTGCCCGAGGTGGTAGAAACTCACTATCCTGATCCTCATCACACAGTTTGGGGAGCTGAAATGCTCGCGAGTGGAAGGGTTTGTTCAAGGTCCTGGAATGAGTGCTTGTGCATAGTCCTCCGTTTCCAAAAGCATCTGGACCCTTCCAGCTGCAGACCCCTGGACACCTGGGCCGGCCAGGTCTCCTTTCCAACTTCCTCCTGTTCGCTGTGGAAGCCACCCACCTGCCAACCTCATGTCCACGTCTCCCGCTGGGCTGGGGCCGCCGGCAGGTGAACTGTTTGGGGACCGTGCGGTCTGGAGGTAACAAAGCAGAAGAGCAGGTTTGGGCGGGGGTCAGGGCTGAGCCAGAGCGGGCCGGGCGCGATCGGTGCACGGACTGGTTTATTCACCTGGCCAGGCTCCGGGGAACGAGAAGAGAAGCCCTGTGGGGACGAGAGGGGTCTCGGAAACGCGTTGGCTCCAGGTCGATCGCGCGTACGGAGCCTCTGGAACTGGGAAATGAAAGTGGTTCTCAGGCGCAGGCCCCTCCCATGGGAGGCCCGGAGCTCCGGCCGCCCCTCCGGGCCCCGGGGCCTGCGACGCGGGCTAGGCCGGCCGGAGACTTGCCGGCCGGAGATGCGATCTCAGTCGGGGGCAACCCTGGCAGGCCGGCCGCGCTGCCCTGCTCAGCGGAGGAAGGAGAGAGCGAGAGCAGAGGACACACAGCCCTGCAAGGCCTGGCAATGGCGGCTCAGGGCGGGGCCACAGCCCGCAGAAACCACCCCCGCCTGCGGTGAGGGCTTTGCCGCTCCTTGGCCAGGTGGAGGGTGGGCGTGGAAAGCAGCGGAGGCCCCGCCCCTATCCTGGGAAGTCCCGCCCACAGGCCTCCTCCTCCATTTGCTGCAGCCGCCGGGTGAGAATGGCCCGCCTCTGACGTATGCTTGGGAAGAGCTGATTGGTCGAAAAATGGGAGGAGCCCCATCCGACCCCGCCCCTGTTCCACGTATGCCCCGCCCCAGAAGTCTCCAGTCAGAGTCCAGTTTCTCAGGCTTGGAGTGCTGCGGTTATGCTGGTGCCCTCCGGTCGGATTTCTGAGGCCTAGAGAGAGGCGGATGGATCTGGGGGCGTAATTAGAGGTTGTTTTAAAGTGGATATATGTGCCTTTTATTTTTTTATTTTATTTTATTTAGAAAAATATATTTTAGCCGAAACCGGTTTGGCTCAGTGGATAGAGCGGTGGCCTGCGGACTGAAAGGTCCCAGGTTCGATTCCGGTCAAGGGCATGTGCCTGGGTTGAGGGCACATCCCCAGTAGGGGGTGTGCAGGAGGCAGCTGATGGATGACTCTCTCTCATCGATGTTTCTAACTCTCTATCCCTCTCCCTTCCTCTCTGTGAAAAATCAATAAAATATATTAATATATATATATTTTTTATTGATTTTTTACAGAGAGGAAGGGAGAGGGATAGAGATAGAAACGCCGATGAGAGAGAAACATTGACCAGCTGCCTCCTGCACACCCCCTACTGGGGGTGTGCCCTCAATCCAGGCACATGCCCTTGACCGGAATCGAACCTGGGACCTTTCAGTCCGCAGGCTGACGCTCTATCCACTGAGCCAAACCAGTTTTGGCTATATGTGCCTTTTAGAAACACGAAGGTACAGAAGAGGATGCAGGAGAAAACACCAGAATGCGACGAACCAGAGACCAGGAGGCGCAGGCTCCCGATGCCTATCCTTGCACTCTGATTTCTAGATGGCAGCGCGTTCACACTGTCTTCCACGTTGTTCTGATGGTGGGAGGGGAGAATACCTGCTAGCCTCTCTCAGGAGGGAGTCCCTGACACCACTCAGTACACCTGATCACCCACTGCTCCTGGGAGAGCTGGGCCCACCCCTGCCAGTGGGACTCCTTCTGGAGGGCAGCAGCTGGGTGGCATGGCAACCACAGAAATATCCGTGCCCTTTGACCCCATGCCCTCACTACGGGGAGCCTGACATTCCAAAATGCAGAGAAAGCTTACACAGCTGGGCGGTGCCAGATCTCTGGTTAGAATCCAGTAGCTTCTACACTGACATACACAAGACTATCTCTCTCTCTAACTAGATCAAGGTAGTCAGTTTCAGGGCCCTGCTGCTACAGTCGGGGGTTAGTATTTGGATTTTGTTATGGAGTTTGGTCTTAGAGATGGTGACCATGTGCCAAACCCTCACATATTTGTGGGCACTGAACCTCACTAGTCTCTCCTGAAATGCTCATAGTTTTAATGTCCCCTAGAGGTAGCTCTCAGTTACACTCCCGGGCTTCCGGCCAGGCTTGGGGCATCTGCCAGATGGTCGTTCTTAGAGGACAGTGTTGCCATCTTGCCCACAGCCTTGTGTGAGTCCTTAATTTCCTCTGGGACTGTTTTTTTTTTTTTTTTAAGGGAATGTAGAGAGGATTGGACCCTCATGCCACAGGCACCCATGTCCCAGACCCGGTACAGGCACTCGCATGAGGCGGCAGAGTCTCCTCTGGGCCCTCTTGCTTGTGTCCCAGTGTAGTTCCCACAGCTGAGGTGCCAGTTGACTATTTTGCCTTTGGTCCTCATGTGCCACTTGATACCACCAACAGATCCCTCTTTCCCTCTCTGTGTGGATGGTTCCGTTGTCAGTTGATGACGTCATGTGTGCTTGTGTGCTTCTGCCTCGGTGCAGGTAGCTCCTGCGTCTGCCCCAGGCTTGGCATCCAAAGCTGAAGTGGCAATCGAATCACCTCAATGGTCCCTCATTCCCCTCTGCCGTGTGGGTGACAAAATCTGTGCCCTCAGTTGACTGTCTTCACCCAGGCCCTCATGTGTGAGCACTTAGTGTGAACTGATAGTTGGTGATCTGTTGGGACCTTATGTCTCTATCTAGTCCCTCCATTCTCCTTTCTGGCATAAATATCAGTATCTGGGCTTTTTGTTGATGCTCTCACCTGGCCCCTAATATCTCTGACTTGTGTAGCTACACAGAGCTGACGTGACATTTGAATGCCCGTCTGCTGCAGTGTAGCTCTCATCACTGAATTGTGTTGTCTTGGATCCTCATGCTGTGCCTCAGGGTAGGGACTCAGATCTGAGGTAACATTGAATACCCTCATCTGTCCCTCATGCCTCTACCAGAGGTTAGGCATCAAGAGCTGGTGTGAGCCCAGCCAGTGTGGCTCAGTAGTTGAGCATCTACCTATGAACCAGAGGGTCAAGGTTCGGTTCCTGGTCAGGACACATGCCTGGGTTAGGGGCTTGATCCAAGTGGGGGGTGTGCAGGGGCAGCTGATCAATGATTCTGCCTCATCATTGATGTTTCTCTCCTTCCTTCCTCTCTAAAATAAAAAGATGTTTTGTTTTCTTTTAAGAACACATAAAAAAGAGCTGCCAAAACCGGTTTGGCTCAGTGGTAGAGCGTCGCTCTGCGGACTGAGGGGTCAGGGGCATGTACATTGGTTGCAGGCACATCCCCGGTAGGGGGTGTGCGGGAGGCAGCTGGTCAATGTTTCTCTCTCATCGACGTTTCTAGCTCTCTATCCCTCTCTCCTCCTCTCTGTAAAAAATCAATAAAATATCTTTAAAAAAAAAAAAAAGAGCTGATGTGAGCCCTGGCCGGGTAGCTTGGTTGGTTAGAGGGCCTTCTCAATACGCCAAGGTTGTGGGTTCAATCTCCAGTTAGGCCACATACAAGAAGCAGCCAATGAGTGCATAAACGGGTGGAATATCAAATGTTTCCTCATCCCTCCCTCCCTCTCAATTAACACCTCCTCCCCCCCAAAAAACCCTGATGTGAAAGGTGATTCCACCAGTGAGCCCTTAAGCCTCACTATACACTGAGTGGCCAGATTATTATGATCTCTGAACGTGTGTGTGTGCATGTATATATGAGGCCTGGAGCATAATTTGTGCATGGGTGGGGTCTGGCCAGCTTGGCCAGGGGGAGGGGACATGGATGGTTGGCTGGCTTACATGCTGGACGAACTCCTGGTGGAGGGGACAACTTGCATATTAGCCTTTTATTATATAGGCTATACACCGACTGGCCAGATTACTATGCATTCAGAGATCATCATAATTTGGCCACTCAGTGTAGTCTAGGCATCTAGAAATTAAATGTTGACCCAATCAATGCCATGCCTCTATGCCAGTGCAGGCCCCAGAGCTGAGGGAGCTGTTGGCTGTCCTCACATGGCCCCTTTGCTTGGTCCCAGTCGAAAGCCTTATACCTCAGCACCAATGTCACCATCCAGAGCAGACGTCTCTCCTCACCAGGTCTGTCACCTCTGTTCCACAATGTGGGGCCCCAGAGCTGAGGTGACATTTGACTCGGTTCAGGGAGGCCCTAAGGAATGTATTCTGTGTCGGAATGTATTGACCCAGAGATGAGGTGACAAGTGACTGTCTTCACCTGATCCCTCATTGTAGGTACTCGGACCTCACGCCTCTCCCCATTGCAGGCTTCCACAGCTGACACGACAGCTAGCTGTCCCCATCAGCGCTTTCACCTATTTCTCCCTCATAGGCATCCAGGGATCAGGTGACAGTTGAGTGTCCTCACATCTAAGCTCCAGCGTAGCACCCAGATCTGTGTCTCAGCGGATTCACACAGAGCAGGATCAGATGGCCCCCAGAGTCCCTCCTCCCTGCTCACACACGGTCACCATGTGCTGGGGGCCCCCGTCCAGGGCCCCTGCTGCTGCCCTATTTGGAGCTTCCCACACTTCTTGGAGGGGCCCCCTTGATGATGCCATGCTGGCACCATCCCCTGGAAAACACTATCCCTAGTATCCAGGTCTGCTAGGTCCCCCCAAAGTATGTAAAGTTGGGGGGGGTTCTATGAAAGGACTCTGAGCATGAAGACCCCCGCGGGGTTAGTGAGGGCCCCTGTACCTTAGTTTATCTGCTTTGGCCCCCAAGGCTGTGAGGTCCTCTTCAGGTCTGTATTTTGAGGATTATTGGGTTTCAGGAGTGCAGGCCAGGTGGGTGGGGATTTAGCTGAGCCTACTCTGCCAGCCGGCAGGGTTGACACCGCCCTCTGGTGGTAAGCGGGGGGAAGGCGTGGCTGGGCCTTCAGAGACTGGCTCTGCACTATTCAGGTCACCACCTGGGGGTTCATTGCTCTTTGTGCCATCCTGGGCCTTTTGCAAAGCTGCCTCTACCCCATTGCTGCCACGTGACTGCACCTCAGTCAAGGGTAAGATCCTCTGTAGCCACACCGGAGCCAAAGGCTTACAGGGAGCCTGAATCCCTAGACTGGTCCATTGCCCCTTCTCCAGGGCACAGGGGCAAGGACCAAGGCCATGGCCCCTGGCCAAAGCCTGGCCTCCAATCCTGTCCACATGGAGCCTTCTCAGGTGCTCTGCGTGGACCTGGACACAGTCCACACTCGGCTTTGAAAAGCCACCTTACTTAAGGGTCTATGACCTGTCCCTGTCCCATAAAGCTCCTCTTTCCCTATTCAATGGGGTCCAGGTGAACTTGATCTCCCTCCTCCCACATCCTGGAGGTGCCGCCTCCCATGGTGAGATGGGGAAGATGGGGAGAGAAGGAATGGTGCCCAGAGATGGTTTGTATATGCTGTGTATATGTGGGGTGACATGCCATCCTCGCTTATGGGATGGCAATAGGCTGATCCGCAATTTGAATTTCTTCCTCTATATATTGCTTCTGCAGACACCTAAGCAGAGCCTCAGCTCATCCTTCCTGCCTGGTGCTCCACCTGTCAAACCGAACTGAACTCCCTACTGCTGCCATCTCAGCCCAGGGGGACTGTGCAGGAGTAAGAAATTGGCTTCCAATGGCAGACCAAGGATGGTGGGAAGAAAGAGCCCCAGGCAATTGCTTTCCAAGCAGAGGTGGGGACAGAGGGAGCACAGGCCAAGCTGGAGAAAGGATTTGTGGTGATCAAGTTCTTGCTAACAGCTTGAGGGCCTTCCCCATCCTGGCACCCCAGCTGTGGCAGTGGCAGGGCCCCAGGACGTGTTCTCACCTAGATTGCTGGTTTCTTCCCTCCAGAAAATGTACTACCCACCATCTGATTATTCTGTCGTTGCTAGTCCTCACTGCAGGACATATTTTCCATTGATTTTTAGAGTGGAAGTGAGAGGGCAGGGAGAGAAACATAGATGTGAGACACACAAGATCAAACCTGCAACCTAGGTATGTGCCCTTGACCGGGAATAGGGCCAACACTCTAACCACTGAGCCCACCGGCCAGGGCCTTCTGATCATTTTATCTGTCCCTTTTGTTTCTGGTTGGCTGCACCTAAAGGAACCCAGGCTTATGAACGCAGGGACCACGGTGCTGGTTCCTGCCATCTTTCCAGTGCTCAGCTTAGGAGCTGGGGAGGAGGGGGGACAGCCGCACAAGGGGTGCTGCCTTTGTTCCGATCATACTGGGTTGAACAGTGTGCCCCCCCAAATCCGTGTCTCCCTGGATCTTCGGAATGCGACCTTATTTGAAAATAGCGTGTCTGCAGAGGTAGTCAAGGCAAGTTTAAGCAGGAGAGAGATACCCACAGGGAGAGGGCTACATGAAGAAGCAAGCAGACAGGGATGTGCCTACAAGCCAAGGAGTGCTCGCCACCAGCAGAAGTTGGAAGAGACAAGGAAGGTCCCTCCCCTAGTTTGGAGGCAGTTCGGCCTTGCCCACTTCTAGAATACACTTTTGGCCTCCTGGATTGTGACGGGGTACATAAGTTCTCCTAAGCCCCAGTGCATGCTTGTTAGGTGGCCTGGGGACCCCAGCTGTCTGCCTCAGAGTGGCCAGGCGGTGGCGCCTCCCTGGACTACCTCCTCCCTCTTGGCCTCTGATGTTAGTCACGAGCCCTGCTGCCTTTCCTTCCTAAATCCTTCTTACTTCCGTGGACTGGCATTGTGCCAACGGCCCTCATGGAGTCCCTGCAGTGGCCTGGCCGGGCAGGAACACTCAGGGTGCAGGTCCGTGTGGGTGGCACGCTCACGGAAGCATTCAGGTGCAAAGGACTCGCTCTATCCTTGTGTCCTGTGGGGTGGGACAGGGTGGAAGCACAGAGGTGAGGGGGACCCTCGGGGTGCTGGGATGCAGGAACAGGAAACAGGGGCAGAGGTGAGGGACACTCGGGTTCCTGGACCAGCCAGTAGAGGGAAGGGGCTGACAGGGAGGGGGTGAGGGATGGGTCCTGAGAAAGGCAGGGAGCCAGAGGCCCCCACCAGGTGGGCTGGCCTCGTGGTCACGGGAGGCAGAAAGGAAACAGCCAGGGGACAGGTGTGTTTGTGGATTTAATGCGATGGGCGGAGGTGGGGCGTCCCACCTGCTGCTTCTGCTTTTCTAGTAGCGAGAGGGGCCCCTATGGAGGGTGGGCCGTGGAGTGCAGAGTTGGCCTGGCAGGGCGCAGGGACGTTAAGAGGGCCCAAGACATGGGGGACTGCTGGGCAGCGCAAAGTCCCCCCCAGCAGGCGATGAGGAATGTAGAGTGGCCCTTCCCCGGGCTCTGAGGAGCCTGCCCACAGCCAGCGGAGGGGTAGGCGGCCACCGGCCCAGGGAGGCCCACCCACTGATCCTCCCTCTCGTCCCCGACTCCTGTCCTAGGAGGAGCCTGGGACAAACGGAAGGGCCATTCTTCTTCCTTCCGTTTAGGCTCAGTCCCGTAGGCAGAGGCTGGCTCAGGCGGGGCCCGTGGTGGCCAGGGATGGTCACAGCGCGGGTGTCGGAGGTTCAGGAATGTAGCTGGGCCCGAGGCCGGGAATGTGAGGCTGAGGCCTATGGTCCCGAGGTCCTCCCGTCACGGAGTCAGGCGGTGGGGAGGCGGGGAGGGCAGAAACCAACAGGGGGTGGGGAGGGGCCCAGGGCTCAGAGCTTGTGGGGGTTCACCCACTTGTAAGTGCCCTCATACTGGAAGCCCACTCTCTTCATCAGCTCATCTGCTTCCGCCGGACCTCGGCTGAGAGAGAGAGGCAGAGGGGAGGCGTGAGTGTCCCCCCTCAAGCTCCAGGGTCCCCTTCCGTGTCGCCCTCACTCTGTTTGCGCCTCACCTGCCGTACACGTAGGGGATGGGCTGTGGCTTCTCGCGCTCGATCTGGTGCAGCAGCGGCGTGAAGATCCGCCAGGCCTCCCGCAGCTCGTCACTGGGGGGACATGTGTGCGTCTTTGGGGGGACGTGGAGGGAAGGGCGGGCGCAGGCTGTGCCCACCGCCTGGAGCCCCGCCCCCTGGCACACAGGAGCACGGGAACCCCCTCACCTGCGCACAAAGTGCATCTGGCTCCCACAGAACACGTCCAGGATGAGGCGCTCGTAAGCATCGGGGAGCTTCACGTTCTGGAGGAGAGGATGGCGCTGAGGCTGCCTGCGTGCCCCCAGCCCCCCGCATCCCTAGGGCTGGGAGCCCCCCCAGGGCTGGGTGATCTCCCCAGGGCTGGGTGCCCTCCTTCAGGGCTGGGTGCCCCCCCCAGGGCCGGGTGCCCCCCTCAGGGCCGGGTGCCCCCCGCCAGGCCTGGGCGCTCACCTTGTATCTGTTGCCGTAGGTGAGGTCCAGCTCGGACTCCTCGGGGTTGAAGAACATGCCGGGCTTCTTGGTCATCATCTTGGTGTACACGGCCTCGTTGGGCTGCACGCGGATCACCAGCTCGTTGCGCTTGCACTGCTGCTGGAAGATGTCGCCAGCCACGTCGCGGAACTGCAGGCGCACCTCGGCCTTGCGCTCGTTCAGGGCTTTGCCGCAGCGCAGGATGAAGGGCACGCCTGGGCGGGAGCGGGCTGCCTCAGGGCGGGCTCTGCCACGGCCCAGGCCGGGCCGGGTGTGCGACAGGGTGTGTGCATGGCCCTGGGTAGCGAGACGCCCGGGTCCCACCCTTGTTGGCCCTTTCCCTTTCGGGGTCTCCTGTCCCCGAGTGGTCAGATCCCGGGGAGAAGCGCTCTGTGACGTGTTACTCACCATCCCACCGCTCGTTCTCCACGTAGAGGACCACAGCTGCGAAGGTGGCGGTGGTGGATCCCCGGGGCACCGTGGGGTCGTCCAGGTACCCTTTGGCAGCCTCGCCCTCTCCCTTGGGATTGCCTACGTACTGGCCCAGCACCACGTTTTCCACCTGCGCCTCTGAGATGCATTTCAACACCTTGACCTGGGATAGAGGCAGGGAGAGAGGGGTCCCTTGAGTAAAAAGATGGAGCTAGCCTGGCCCATGTGGCTCGGTGGTTGAGCATTGACCTATGAACCAGGTCACGGTTCAATTCTCTGTCAGGGCACGTGCCCAGGTGGCGGGCTCGATCCCCAGTGCGAAGCGCGCAGGAGGCAGCCGATGGATGGTTCTCTCATCATTCATGCTTCTATCTCTCTCTCCCTCTCCCTTCCTCTCTGAAATCAATAAAAATGTACTAAAAAAAAAAAAAAAAAAAAGATGGAGCCCTGACCGGTTTGGCTCAGTGGCTAGAGCGTTGGCCTGCGGACTGAAAGGTCCCAGGTTCGATTCCGGTCAAGGGCATGTACCTTGGTTGCGGGCACATCCCCAGTAGGGGGTGCGCAGGAGACAGCTGGTGGATGTTTCTCTCTCATTGATGTTTCTAACTCTCTATCCCTCTCCCTTCCTCTCTGTAAAGAATCAATAAAATACTAGAATATATTTATAAAGAAGATGGAGCACAGCCTGAGGAGCCACATGACCCGGAAACCCCCAGAAAAACCTCGTTTTTTTCCTGAAGGAGAAGCTAAGGCTTAGACAGGCAATGGGTCTGCCCGTGGTCACACAGCAGTCACTGTTGGTCCTGCTACATGACATCCGGGTCTTCTGACTGCCAGCCAGGGCATGCCTTCACAGAGCTGGCAGCGAGGATGGGGAGGGTACGCCTCCACCCACCTTCTCATTGCGGACGTCGTCGGAGTCCGTGGAGGCTGGCTTCTCCATGGCGACCAGACACAGCATCTGCAGCAGGTGGTTCTGCATCACATCCCTGGCGGGGAAGCAGGCGGAAGTGGGTCAGGGCTTGCGGGTTGGAAGACAGGTATGAGGAGTGAGCCCGCCTCGGCCCCCTCCCTCTGGGCCAGGTTTTGGGGGCTGCGGCTTCAAGTGGGATTTTTTGTTTTTACTCCTCCCCAAGATTTTTCTTGATTTCAGAGAGGAAGGGAGAGGGAGAGAGAGACAGAAACATCAATGATGAGAAATCATTGATCGGCTGCCTCCTGCACTCCCCACACTGGGGATGGAGTCTGAAACCCAGGCATGTGCCCTTGACTGGAATCGAACCCAGGGCCCTTCAGTCTGGAGGCCGACACTCTATCCACTGAGCCAATATGTTTTTATTGATTTTTTTTTCCTTTGGGGGGGAAGGGGAGAGAAACATCGATGTGGGAGAGGAACATCAGTTGGTTGCCTCCTGTATGCACCCTGACTGGGGATCAAACCCACAACCTGGGTATGTGCCCTGACTGGGAATCGAACCCGTGGCCTTTTGGTGTATGGGATGATGTTCCAACCAACGGAGTCACACCAGCCAGGGCTCAAGTGAGACTTCTGAGCCGCAAGTTACAAGACTCATTTCCTAAATCTAGTGTCTCCCAGGTTCCCTCAAGGCAAGGAAGGAGGCAGTGGCCCTCCCTTCATAGCTACCGCTGACCGATGAGACTTTCCTGCAGAATTTAAACTTCGGGTGGGGAAGGAGGAACCCTGTAGGAGGCAGGCTTGGGCCCCATGCCCATTCCGGCCTTCTAGGAAGAGGTCAAGGGCTCTCACCGGATGATCCCAAATTCATCGAAGTAGCCCCCGCGGCCCTCAGTACCAAAGGGCTCCTTGAAGGTGAGGATGACGCAGGCGACATTGTCCCGGTTCCAGATGGGGCCGAAGATCCGGTTGGCAAACCTGCAGGAGGGGCAGGACAGAGGCCGGTGCTGCATCCGATGGGGCAGCAACAGGGCAGGCTAAGCCCCCCAGAGCCCGCCCTCAACCCAGTTCCCCTCCCCCCTTCCCCCAGAACCATCCCTGGCTGCACCTCAGCACCATGAGGTTCTGGACCATCTCCTTGCCCAGGTAGTGGTCGATGCGGTAGATCTGGTCCTCGCAGAACAGGGAGGAGATATGGTTGGACAGGCGGTCGGAGCTCTGCAGATCCTTCCCGAAGGGCTTCTCCACAATGATGCGGTTCCAGCCCCTGCAGGAGCCCAGAGCTGCGTGACTCCCGCACCCTCTGTGGGGAGCAGAGGCCAGAACCTCCCCATTCCTAATAACCTCTCCTCCCGAGGGGCCCCAGAGCTAGTGGGGGAGAACAGGAGGAGGGGGCAGTTATATCTGTGGGTTTTAAAATGGCAGAAAGTCCCTTTTTTGGTTAATCCCCGCTGAGAGTTAACATGGCGTTCTGTATTCAAAACCAGGCCAAAGAAAAAGATGGCTGTGGCTTTGGGGAAACAAGGGAACGGCCAGGCCCAGGAAGCGTGATTTCTTGTGGAGCAACACCGCCACCTTGTGGTCTGGAAGGGAACCTTGGGAAGTGCCAAAAAAGTCAACGCAGCTGCAACGGGCGGCAGTTTCATGGAACCACACTGACACCTTGTGGTGTTATTGGGGATTGCGTCCAGGAACAGTCGAATTTCTAGCGAGGTAAACCTTTTGAGGGTCTGCACAGACTTCGGAATGTAAATATGTGTGGTAGCATTTTCATTAAGGATGTTGGAAAGCTACCGCGTTTGCAGCCTGTTCCATTCTTTGTGGAGCTAATTAGCGTCGAGCCTTTTTGCGGCTCCCTAGACTGGTGTGCCCGGGGTCCATGGACAAGCTGCCAGGGCAGGCCAGCTCCAGGTAGGGCCCACCCAGGAGGCAGGAGGGAAGGGCAAAAGACAAGCCTTACGTCTGGCTCATGCAGGTCTCTCGGATGTTCTTGGTGACGGCCTCATAGACGGTGGGGGGCAAGGCCAGGTAGAAGAGGCGGTTGGCCTGTGACCCCTGGCAGAGAGCGTTGATGTGGTCATTGAGGTGCTCATAGGAGGCTGCTTGATCGTACTGGCCAGACACGTAGGAGTTGCAGGCGAAAAACTCCTCCAGCTTGGACTTCTCCTCGGGGGTGGCCTGGGGGGAGACGGACACAGGGATGTCAGCCCCCCCTTACCCATCCTGCAGCCAGGGCAGGCTCCTCTCGGAGTCCATCACTCTAGCTCCACAAGAGGTTCACACTCCCATTTCGTCAGCTTTCGTCAGGATGGGCACAGTCACCCATGGGGACCTTGTGCCCTAAGATAGAAGTCAGACTTTGGGAGAGTTTGACCTGGGAGAAACACAGCAGAGAAAGATTTCTCTTTCTAAGGTCACTACTCCAAACTTCGTTGTGTTGGGAAAACGCAAATCTAGGATTTCTATGGTCTAGAGCAGGGGTGGGGAACCTTTATTCTGGCAAGGGCCATATGGATATTTATAACATCATTCGAGGGCCATACAAAATTATCCACTTAACTTAATATGATAGTTAGGCTAGGCTCTTTCCCTGGCCCTGGTTGGGGCTTGTGCAGGAGACAACCAAACAATGTGTCTCTCTTACATTGAAGTTTCTCTGTCTATCCCGCTCCCACCCGTTCTCTCTAAAAATCGATGGAGCCCTAGCCGGTTTGGCTCAGTGAGTAGAGCGTCAGCCTGTGGATTAAAGGGTCCCGGGTTTGATTCTGGTCCAGGGCACATGCAGGTTGCAGGCTTGATCCCCATTGGGGGGCGTGCAGGAGGCAGCCGATTGATGATTCTCTCTCATCACTGATGTTCCTCTCTCTCTCCCTCTGTCTTCCTCTCTGAAATCTCTACAAATAAAACAAATAAAAAGGAATCTAGAGAAGTTAGAATAAAAAAAAATCAATGGAAAAAAATATCCTCAGGTGAGAATTAACAATAACATCTACATAAATAAAGAAATGGCCTTTAAAAAATTAGCCTGCTGTATTGGGTCAGACATTTCATTCACTCCTAATGCCTTGGCAGGGCCGGATCAAAGGATTTTGCGGGCCTTATATGGCCCTTGGGCCGGACGTTCCCCACCCCTGGTCTGCTCCTGGTCCTGGGGCACAGCAAGCCCACATGAGGGGGGCTGGGAAACAGGAGTCTCAGACTCATGGGGTTCTTATACTCCACTCTGCGCTCCCCCTGTCATCAAGGAAGTGGCAGAAGCAGGAAGGCAGAGTTTTCTGTGCCAACTCGAGAGAGTAGTGTGGGTGGTTTTGAGGAGGGAAAGGATGAGGCGTTTGGGCATGAGTGGCCCCAGGTGACTGTCTTAACAAGGCCTGACTGGGACAAGGAGAGGAGGGCCGGGCTCGGGGGAGGAGAAGCAGAGAGCGGGAATGGGAGGAGGAAAGGGCACCCCTTCACAGACCCCAGCAGCTACTCACCTTGAAGAAGGGCTCGCTCTGCTTCCGGATGTCAGCCACCGTGAGGCGAGAGCGGGCATAGCCCACGATGAAGGTGTTTTCGGGCAGAAGGCCGTCCCGGAACAGCCACCTGAGGGCAAAGCATAGCCGAGGGCAGGGTGGGGAGGGCGGGGAAGGCCTGGAAGGCCCGGGGCAGTGGGATGAGTGGATGGGGGTGCTTACCAGATGGTGGGGTAGATCTTCTTCTTGGCCAGGTCACCCTGTGGCGGAGGGAACAGGCATGGTTAGGAGAAGCTGGGGAGCCCGGTCAGCATGGCTCAGTGGTTGAGCATTGACCTATGAACCAGGAGGTCAAGGTTCCATTCCCGGTCAGGGCACATGCCCGAGTTGTGGGCTCCATCCCCAGTGGGATTGTGCAGCAGGCAGCTGATCAATGATTCTCTCCCATCACTGATGTTTCTTTCTTTTTTCTTTCTTTTCAAATATATTTTATTGATTTTTTACCGAGAGGAAGGAAAAGGAATACAGAGCCAGAAACATCGATGAAAGAGAAACATCCATCAGCTGCCTCCTGCACACCCCCTACTGGGGATGTGCCCGCAACGGGGGTACATGCCCTTGACCGGAATCGAACCCAGGACCCTTCTAGTCCACAGGCCGATGATCTGTCCACTGAGCCAAATTGGTTTCAGCTCACTCATTGATGTTTCTATCTCTCTCCCCCTCTCCCTTCCTCTCAGAAATTAATAAAAATACATGTTTTAAAAGAAAGAGAAGCTGGGGACATGACCTAGGTTGTCACCCCACTTTGGGATCTGGGTACTCACTTGGGGTCAGCACTCAACCAGAAGCATACCTGTTTTTTTTATTTTTATTTTTTAAATTTAGAGATATCCTGGATATTTAAAAAAAAAATATTTTTATTGATTTTTTACCGAGAGGAAGAGAGAGGGAGAGAGTTAGAAACATCGATGAGAGAGAATCATCGATCAGCTGCCTCCTGCATACCCCCTACTGGGGATGTGCTGGCCACCAAGGTACATGCCCTTGACGGGAATCTAATCTGGGACCTTTCAGTCCGCAGGCCGACGCTCTATCCACTGAGTCAAACCGGTCTCGGCCAGAAGCATACCTGTTTTCCTCCTTCAGGTAGTCAGAGGAGCTTGAATGAGAGCCTTTACGGTGACCCTGAACTAACAGCACCCACGTATCGCAGGAGCCTCCTTGAGGTGGGTGGCCCCTCTGTTGTCCAGGAGGCACCAGGACCAGCCTGGCCACTCTGCAGTCACACAGGCCGTGGTCTCTGGCCTCGGTGCAAGCAAAGGGAGCCAAACCCCAACCAGGGAGCCCACTTCCGGGCGGCTCACGGGCTGAAGAAGGAAACCGGATATGCTGCTCACTGGAGCCAAATGGCAGTAGAAGTGGCACATATCAAAACTTGTACGGTGGCCGAAACCGGTTTGGCTCAGTGGTAGATCGTCGGCCTGCGGACTGAAAGGTCCCAGGTTTGATTCCGGTCAAGGGCATGTACGTTGGTTGCGGGCACATCCCCGGTAGTGGGTGTGCAAGAGACAGCTGGTCGATGATTCTCTCTCATTGACGTTTCTAGCTCTCTATCTCTCTCCCTTCCTCTCTGTAAAAAAATCAATAAAATATATTTTAAAAAAACAAACAAAGACAAAAAACAAACACAAAAAAAACCTTGTACGTGGCCTTCTGTGCTGAGGTTGGCTAAAAAGAACGGCTCGAAATTAATGAGCTAAGCATTCAATTTAGGAAGTTAGAAAACAGGACAGTACAATTAAAAAAAATATATATATTTTAAATAGTTTATTGACTTTTTTACAGAGAGGGAGAGAGAGTTAGAAACATCGATGAGAAAGAAACATCGATCAGCTGCCTCCTGCATGCCCCCTACTGGGGATGTGCCTGCAACCAAGGTACATGCCCTTACCAGAATCGAACCTGGGACCTTTCAGCTCGCAGGCTGACGCTCTATCCACTGAGCCAAACCGGTTAGGGCAACAGTACAATTTTTAAAATTTTTTCAACCGGCCTAAGCCGGTTTGGCTCAGTGGATAGAGCGTCAGCCTGCGGACTGAAAGGTCCCAGATTAGATTCTGGTCAAGGGCATGTACCTTGTTTGCAGGCACAACCTCAGTAGGGGGTGTGCAAGAGGCAGCTGATCGATGAGTCTCTCTCATCGATGTTTCTAACTCTCTATCCCTTTCTCTTCCTCTCTTAAAAAATTAATAAAATATATTTAAAAAATTTTTTCACCCGATATTTGCATTGATTTTTATAGAGAGGGGTGGGGGTGTGAGAGAGAGAGACAGAGAGAGAGAAACACACTGACATGAGAAACATCGATCAGCTGGCTGCCTTCTGTACATGCCCCCAATTGGGGCTGGGGATCGAACCTTCAACCTGAATATGTGCCCTAACTGGGAATCGAACCCACGACCTTTTGGTGCATGGGACGACGCTCCAACCAACTGAGCCACACCAGCCAGGGCAAGCACAGTAGAATTTTCAAGCGGAACAAATTACAAGGCGGGAAATAAAGAAGAATTCATAAAATAGAAAACAAAGCAAAAGATGAACAAAGCCAAAATCTGGTGTTCGAAAAAGACTAAGAAAACCCTACCAGGTTTGGCTCAGTGATTAGAGCATCGGCCTGCAGACTGAATGGTCCCAGGCTTGATTCCCGGTCAGGGTATACGCTGGGGTTTGCAGGCTTGATCCCCAGTGGGGGGTGCGCAGGAGGCAGCCGATCAATGATTTTCTGTCATCGTTGATGTTTCTCTCTCTCTCTCTCCCTCTCCCTTCCTCTCTGAAGTCAAGAAAAATATAGTAAAAAAGAACAAACCCGCAGGAATTGAGCAGAGGGTAGAAAGTGGGTAAAGCAAGATGCCCGAGCACTGTGGGAGCTGGGCCATGGACAGGGGCCATTCATAGGGTTGTCCTGTCGACTCTGTGCGTGTGAACATTTCCAAAAGAAAAGCAAGGGTGTGATACACGGCAACTGTGAGCAACGATATGGCAAAGCCCGCAAACTTGACAGCAGACTCGTGAGAAAGAATCACAAGGTTCCTTCTCCTCAGGTTCCGGCCCAGTGGCTGTGGGCATTCCCACGCGCTGTCACTTTGTCAGCCTCCGGTCACAGGCTCGCGGAGAGGAACAGAGCAGCGAGCCCTTTCATCTGCCTGCCCTGTAATTGAAGCTTGGGACGGGCCGGGACACGACCCACGCTCCACTCGGCGTTGCCAATCAATGGGGTGGGGGCGGGGATAAGAACATGCTAGGCTGGGATGGATCTGAATTCGCCCCAGGCAGAAAAAAAGGATGCCATGCACCTGGGAACCAACGCAATCCCAACCTGGTTAAAACCCCTCTGCAGCCTGGCCGGTGTGGCTCAGTGGTTGAGCATCGACCTATGAACCAGGTGGTCACAGGTCGAGTCCTGGTCAGGGCAGATGCCTGGGTTGCGGGCCTCATTCCCAGTGTGGTGCGTGCAGGAGGCAGCCAGTCAATGATTCTCTCATCATTGCTGTTTCTCTCTCCCTTCCTCTCTGAAGTCAATTAAAAAAATATATTTTAAAAAGTCTAGCGGCGCCCTAGCCGGTTTGGCTGGGTGGAATAGAGTGTCGGCCTGAGGGCTGAAAGGTCCCAGGTTCGATTCCGGTCAAGGGCACATGCCTGGGTTGCGAGCTCGATCCCCAGTGTGGAGCGTGCAGGAGGCAGCTGATCCATGATTCTCTCTCATCATTGATGTTTCTTTCTTTTCTTTTTAAAAAAATATATTTTATTGATTTTTTACAGAGAGAAGAGAGGGATAGAGAGCTAGAAAGGTCGATGAGAGAGAAACATCGACCAGCTGCCTCTTGCACACCCCCTACGGGGGATGTGCCTGCAACCAATGTACATGCCCTTGACCGGAATTGAACCTGGGACCTTTCAGTCCGCAGACCTACGCTCTACCACTGAACCAAACCGGTTTCAGCTCATCATTGATGTTTCTATCTCTCTCTCCCTCTTCCTTCCTCTCTGAAATCAACAAAAATATATATATTTTTAAAAAAAGGCTAGTGGCACTTTAGAATAAATAAAAGAAAATCCCTCCAAAGACAGGCAGTCAGGAGGCACTGGGGGCCTAGGAGGGTGCTCCTGGTGGGGGGGATCCCTTTGTGGGCAGAGGCGGGGGAAGGCAGTTTCTGAAAATGCAGGTTCCCTGGAATGCCTGGTGCCTTGAATGTTCATGCTCCTTCTGTCCTTTGCTTTGTCTTCAATGTCCTTGGGTGACCTTACCTCTACCCAGGGCTTAAGGTGGGGACCTGCAGGCGGACACCTCCAAGTGTCTTCCAGCCCAGAGTCCACTGAGCACCAGCTCACACAAGCAGGTGTGGGCTGGCCATCCCCAGTGGGGACCCCAAACTTGCAAAGCGGGCCGTTTCCAAATCAGGGTATGCTGTGCCGGTGCCCCTGCCCAAGCCTGCCAACTGCTCACCGCTGATCTCTAATGGCTGGGAGCGTGTCCCTAACTGCCACCTTCCACACAAAGCACTACCATAGTGACATCAGATGGCTGCCCTCACCAGCTCTGAGGCTTCCCCTCTCTGTGCCTCGGGGGCCCAGGAGCCCTCACGGCGGCAATACCTATAGCGAACAGCAGTGCCCGCCTCTGGCCTCTCCCATCAATGGGGCTGGGTGAGGACTCTGCTTCTGTCACCTGGCTCAGTGTTTGGCCTGTTGAACAGGAGAGGGTTTGCTGGGGACTAGTCCGCAGGAGACATAATCAGAAGCTCGGCCTGCAAACGCCTCATGGCAGGAGCTGTTTGCTTACCGTCACATTCCAGCAGGCTGTGGGGAATCGGGACAGGCCGTGGGCATGGAGTGGTGGCAGGGGACTAGTTTCCTGTCTGCTGAGTCACGGTGCCACACCCGACTGTTTGCTCTTGCCATTCCCTCTGGGATTAATTAGCCAGAGAACCTGCTTGTCTTGTTCCGCTCAACCTCTGCACCCAGCGGGTATGCTGGGCCCCAGGTCACCCGAGGAAGAGGTGACAGTACCCAGGGCAGTGGAGGGTGTGAGGCCTGGCAGCGGCTCTCCGAGCCGGCCTGGGCTGGACTCCTATGCGAGAAGGAATGTGGGAAGACACTGATCACATCTAAGCATGCCACACGTGGGTGTGGAGCAATTACAGGGGCTTTTGGTGAGATGCGGCAATCTTTCCTCTATCCTTCATTTATTTTTATTTAT